ATTTCCACTCAAATGTGTTTTCTGTGCCATCTCATCTAAGGAGGCACATGCACTCATCTCAAATGCAGCAAAAATCAACAACACAGCATGATGCAGCCGCTCCTGTACCCCACAGCTGAGATGGTGTTTCAGAGGTTTGCAGTCTTCTTTTCCAGCAATGACCACTGTGGCCAAAATATTCTTGTTTTTATAAGAAAAAAAGGATATGTCTTCAAATTTAGAATCAGAACGAAGTTTATTAACCAAACTGGTGGGCAGGAGCAAGGAATTAGATGATTAATAGACAAGCAGCATTTTTTGTTTTCTCATAAACCCTTAAACTATACTTGTGCTTCTTCTATTTTTATGACAGATGGCTTCTTCATTGTTGAGTGGCCATCCTGTCAATATTGGCAGATGATTTATTTTCATATAGGAAAAGTTACTCTAGCCAGGACCCTCCCAATTATTTTTTTTCTTTTGTTCCTGTTTTGGATCAAGTCTTCACACCTTTGCATCTTGGACACACAGAACCGTCATCTTCCTGAACAGTACGATGGATGAACATCCCATAATGCTTATCTAAACAGATTCGTTTGGTATCTTCAGAATCTTTGCACAGAAGGATGTGCCTGATTTATAGAGGTTATAAGTCATCATTTAGCTGAACTGTATTTTAGCTGATCTGCTTTTCTTTTTCAATAATTTCAAGATGTTGCCATCCATTGACTGGTGTATTCTAGTTTAGGTTAAATGTTGATAATTTAAAATCAGAGCTTTATAAAGCCATGACAAATTAAGTTATTCAAAATAAGCTATTAAATGCTCATATTAATCTACTATTTAACACACACTTTTAATGTTTTATCTTATTATTATTAGTTGTTTTTTTCTTGCTATGTGTTTGTGTGTGTATGTGAGGAAGTAATCCTAATTAAGCAAAACAGAAACCATGTAGTGGGATTTAATTTCATAGATCAGTGAAAAATGCATACAGATATAGGATTTTAGCTTTCAGTAGCACAGAATTGGCAGTAATTCTTCCCAAATAAATTTGGCAGTTTTTGTTGGGAAAGACAGATAAGGGTTCTCTAAAGTAATGAATGATTCTTGTGTACTTTTCGCTGCACAGATCTAATAATCTGATGCTCCTCACATCGGTGAGTGTAGACGCCCATAGGTTCCCCCTGTTTATTTTTAGGGCTAATATCTGCTAATCTTCGGGTATAATTGGTCAGGGGATACCCCTCTACAATTGCTAACACGCTTCAACACACAGATATTCACGCAGCTTGGGCTGAAGCTGCTCCTGCCATGACCTAATGCAGCACCTGTTGCTGAGCAGCACATTGGTCATTAAAAACACATTTAATTCCTTTCATCCACTCTCTCCACTGTCTGTCACTGTTCCTCTCACTTTCTTCTCACTGACTTCATCTAATTTTAGTTTCATCTGTTGGCCATGATGCATGTCTGTTATCCCTGCCTGCATTACAGTGCCCACTCAAAGCTCATAAATATTTTTGATTGTTGCCACAGCTCTGAGGGTTATTTATTCTTTTTTAAGGTTGTCACCATAATCGTTACCAGAATCATATAAGTCTTTGGACACGTGTGATTTCCTCATCAAAGACACCATTCATATAAAACCTTAGGAATCCATAGGGCTCTATTGACTTCACTCTGTCTTACTGTCTTGATCTTTTCTCCCCCGCAACAAATCCTTCTAGTATGTTGTCCCCGCTGCCTCACCCCTCCCATTCACATTTTCTTACAATGCTGCAAAGTGCTGAGGAGGGGTAATTCAATAGACATGAAACCTAAGAGAGTCTTGGGAGAAGAGGCTGGCAGGACAGTGGGTCAGTGCAGGACATGATTTACCATAGATTAATTAGCACAAGTCAGTTTCAAATGAACAGTTTGGTTTTCTATCCAAAATGTTGTTATATTGTTTTATTGATAATAGAAAACTCCAGTCAGGACTTTGAACAGTGGTGTTCTTTTTTTCTCTCTGTAATTAAGGTCAGATCTATGAAGGGGATAATTACTGGTTGTATTGTCAACTGGAATTACATTTAGTCAAATTCATTCTCTACTCAAGTGACCTCTAGGGGAGAGTGGTTACACTGCAGTCACTAGGGGAAACATACATAGTAAAGGGGACTGAATACAAATGCATGTTTCATTTTTCAGATTTTAGTTATGTTTTTTTGTTTTTTTCAAACTATGTCTGCTTTAACTTCCACTTCACAAGCATGCAAGACTTTTTGTACATAGGGCCCAAATGATTATACAACAGAATAGCAAACAAAAAGCTTGTTTCTTTTAACTGAGGGGTGTAAAGAATATAAAAGTGAATGCATTTAAGAAAAAAATCAGTCTTTAAAAAACAGAAATAACTAGGTTTTTATGCTTCAAATATGTATGATAGGCACATTTACAGTACAGGAAAATAAAATCATTAAATCTATCAGAACAACAAAGCATTCCAGTTCAGTGAGGCAGATGATGTTCGTCTTTATAATGTGGTATATTGAGCTTATGGGCTCTCCGTAGTTTTCCTATGTTCTATATGATATGCGCAGGGCTAAATGGATATGCCAGAACACGAGCCACCGTTGGCAGGTTGTAATAATGTTCATCGAGTACTTTAGTAAATGTGGTTAAATGCGTGAAAAGCGTCTCATCAATACACCACAATAAATTTGAAAATATCTTAAAGAAAAGTAACTAGTTGAAATTATATAGGGATATTTGATAGGTGTTATGAGACAAATTTTAACAAATAAGGTAGGAACAGAACCACAATTAAACACAAAAACACAAAAACTGAGGATAATTGGTGAGATAAAACAAGCAAAATAAAAATTTTGTGGAGATTATGCTACTAGTACCAGAATTGTTGAAGAAGAGTGCTGGCAATAATGGACCTTAGTGCAGGATTTGACACTGTTGATCTCTCTATTAAAAAAAAAAAAAAATGGGTTGGCCTCTCTAATACAGCAATCAACTTCTTTAAATCCTTTTTGAAGTATAGGGACTTTTGTCAGTAGGTAACTTTACATAGGAGACCACAAAAATCACATGTGGTGTTCCCCAAGAGTCCATCTTAGGGGCCCCTCCAATTCAATATCTACAGTACATGTCCCACTAACAGATCTTAAAAAATAACATCATGTTAACATAACTATGCAGACGACACACAGCTGTGACCAGTAGAATATGAATCCCTCAAGTGATTGGTAAATGCATACGGGAAGTTAGCTTTCAGATATGCCAACAGTTTTTTTACTGAAAAGGCAAAAGTGAAGCAATAGTCTTGGCACCAAAAGAAGTGTTTGAAAGTTAGTGCACGCCTTCATTTAATACACCTAGAAAAATCAATCAGAGTAGCGATGGACTCAGACCCAAAGTCGTAGAGACACAAAAGGCCTTTAACAAAGTTGGCCTTTTGAACATCTGCATACCCAGAACCTGTACCAAACATGGGGAAGCAGCTTTTGGTTCTTTTACTCTAGAAATCTGGAAAAAAAAAAAGAAAACTGCTAAAACTCTTAGTTGCTTTACTATGCTATCTAATAATATTAACCTTTGTAGCTCAGCTTTCTATTATTGTATTATTAATCATTATCATTATTTCAATTATTCATGTGTTATCATTTTAGTAACTCATGTTTATGAATTGTTTAATTACCTTGTACCACTGTAATGTAAATTTCGCTTTGTTTTATTATTATGATTCTTAGGTTAATCTACTTCACTTTGAATTGTCTAATTTCTAAAATATGCAATATAAATCAAATAAACAGGGATTTTCCAAGGTGTTCTAACATCCTATCTAGGAAATTCAATTGTTTCAGAGGGTAAAATAATTACATCAAGCAAGACAGCTGATAAACAGTGTAAAGGGTTGTTCATATTATCTATTAACAAACTGTAAGATTTTGGCCGGGTAAATGGGTATACAATTAATAGGAGTTGTAAAAAATATAATGAGGTATTTATTTAAATAGCAAAAAGATGACAATTAAGCGGTTTTAGCTAAAGGGGAAAAAAGCAAGGGAAGAGGGACAGATTTATTTATTTGTGCAGAGCCAACATCTGTTCAATAAAAAACAGTAGTTTAAAAGAAACCAGCAGAAATATTTAACCAGGGAAGGCTAAAATTATACAAGAAAAAAAACAAAGCGGGTTTCCAATGAGGAGTAAAGAGAAAGATAAAAGAAAGAAGGGAAAATGGGGTGCAAGTTCTGATTTTACAGAGTGAGTCTTTACCTTTTTAAACCAATAGCAAAGTGACAGACCGAGATGGAACCAAAGCTTTTGTACCTTGCTTCACTTTTAAATGTTTGGAAAGAATTAAGAAACGCCGTCTGTTGCTCAAATTAGACTACCGGTTTTGAAATAAAGCCATTTATTTATCTGTAATATCCTGACATTTCATGCCAGCAAGCACATAGATCTCCCTGACAGCCAATCTGTACTTTGTAGAATGTTTTTATTTATGTAAGGTTTCAGGTGTTTATTCTCTCCATTTCGACTGTATCTTTGCTCCGTAATGACAGAAATCTGTGGTGTTTAGGTTTGCATTTTTAAAGTTGGATTGAAATATATTTTGAACATGGTAAAAAAAAAAAAAAAGAAAAAAAAGAGTTTTTGCATTGATCTTGCAAAATGTTTGCCCCCCTTCCACATATTTACTGTCTAATCTAAATGTGCTTTATCGCAATTGTTGATGAAACCATCAAACACTTTTTTGTATTCAATGTGGTTATCTTTTTCTCAAGCATTACTTTATTTGATAATCCAAGGAAATGAAATATAGTTTTCTTAATAAGCCATATTATCTTTGAAACATTACTTATATAAGGGATTTTTTTTAAGACACAGCAGATAAGAACAAAATGGATGTATGTGTCACATATAACCCTTAGTGGGGACGACGTCCAAAGGAAGTAAGATAAAGAGGTATTATTAATAGGCCAACAGTTTTGCGTCATGTCTTGACAAACCCCTCTTCTGAAAATGGAGAGGTGGGGAAGAGCCGGGTGCACACAGGGGTAGTTTGGACAAGTGTGTATATGTTTAGAGGCAGCTATAAAAGTCTTATTGTGTTCTCCATTACTCCACTTGTTCACCTTACCCTTCATCTTCAGACCTCCTGTCTTCTCCTGTCTCCATCCATCTCCTTTCCTCTTTCTTTCTTTTTTTTCTTTGCAGCATCCATCTGTTCATTCAGGTAAGACTCATCATATATTAAATGCAGCAGCACAGAAGGTAAATAAACAAACAAAAATCTGAGGCTGATGAAATACAGGTTTAGTCAACAAAACGTGAAATGATAAAGATTAACTGGATGACAATTCACGATGAAGGCTGTGCCACAATCCTGTTGTATGCATCCCTGATGTATAGCAAAATTATAGGACAGTGTCCTAAAATTTTAGTTTAACAGTAAATGCAATCCTAAATGAGAGCATCAAAAATAGACGCAGGAAACCCTAAAATCACCACTTAGAACTGCAAATGTTGATGGAAGCTGATTAATTTGATCTCAATACTTCAGTTCATTAAAATGTTTCAGAACTGTCGCTGAGACAAGTATTGCGTCACTACGCTATACAGACTGGGGAAAATCTGCACAGGGATGGGGCATAAATATTGTTTGTTGCAAGAAAAGTTGCAGACACATTCGTGCTGGGTAAAAAGTTCAACTTAGGGGAAAAATGAAGAAGCATTCACACTTTGGCTTTTAGTCACAGCAATAATCTAAAGCTTTTGCATACCAAATGGAAAGCTGAAAACAAAAAGAAACAGAGCCTTTTCTTCAGTAGCTCCCAAAGCTCGAGAGCCATCGCCCCGAGGACCAGAGAAGGTTAACTGTAGCTTCTCTACAGTAAAAGCCATTGAAAACCATTAAGATCTCATTATAAATCTGCCTTTTTGTTCATCTGTCCTGCTTATAAAAATCTTTATAAATCGCATTTATTAATTTACATGTAGCTATCTGCTGTTTAAGACAAAGACTGTTGCTTTGCTCTGAGCTGTTTTCTATTTCTTGCCTAATATTGGATTTCAGCAGCTTGGAGGTTCAGGGCCTTCACTGCTAGATGTTTTAGATGTCTGAAAGAACCAAACACCTGGCAGGCCAGTGTTGGACCCTTTAACTATGAAGTAATGATTCGGCTATGCATTCATGATGTGGATTGAAATTCCCTTTAAGGTACCAGGTCAAATGGATTTTCCTCATCAGCATAGTGAAAAAGTCTACATTTTCCCAACTTTGAGATAATCACCACAGAGTTTGCATTTTGTTTAGATAAGACGATGGTGAAGACTGTTTTTTGGAATCTTTGTATGATTACAATTTCAATTACTATTTTTAAAGGTTCACTATTGTTTTATAAAGGGGATAACATTGTTAAATGGAATACATTTTTAACTCAATGTTTGGTTTTAAGTATTAATTCACATGCTCGGCTGAATAATACAGATAGATTCTGGTTAGTTTCTCCTTTTTGTCACTCGCTGACTATAGCACCTTTTCTACAGGTTGAGGATTTTTCAGCATGTTTATCTTTACACACAGTGGCAGTACATAAAGATCCAGAACAACGTGGCAGACTAGTGGTGTTGTTAAAAGTTGACTCCAGGTAGAATTAGTAGAAATTTTCTATCTGAAACTTCATGACCCTCTATGACTTATACAGAAAACATTATCAAATAAATCATAACCATATTAGATCTCTAGATAAATCCAAATGCACAAATAGCCTCCCGCTAATTGGCTTTTGGTGCCAAAAGTCAGAAACATGATAGGTGTCAAGGAAGTTGAGAACAAGTAAACAGGGCAGAGAGAAAGAGGATGGCTGTACATTCCTGTGCTTATTCTGTCACGCTGTCATTCGGTCAGGGAGGGGAGATGGTTTGATGAACTCAAGACAGTGCAGGCTGCAAAGGGACAGTTGACATGTACCAAGCAGAGATTGTTGTGTGTTGGGCCCAAATATCTTCTCCAAGGCCACAGAGTGAAGGAGAATGTGCACAGAAATTCCATCTGAAAACAAGAGGAGTCTGTTCGCTGAAGAAAAAAAAAGACTACACCCTGTTGAGTTTTGTTTTCTTTTTTACTTTTCCTTTTAAGTTATCAAGAAAAAAATAACTTTCTCTACTGACATCTAGTGACACTTGGGGGTTACTGCAGCAGATTTGTTGACAATCTCTTTTTTCTTTACATTTTTAAGCAAAAAATGACTCAGTAAAAGCATTCTATGCAACATGTCTCCCTTAACTTCATAACACAGTATTTTTTTATTAACTTTTCTTTAGCACATTAAGTAAAACCTACAAAGTTCTTCCAAAGCAGCCTAAATTAACCATATAATTTCTCCTCTTATATTTTCTCCAGCTGGCAGAATGGTAATGACTGATCTCTTAAAGCCAGAGGAGATCAAGAAAGCTCTTGATGCCTTTGCAGGTTTGTAACTATTTTATCCTCCCCAGATATACAATAGTATGTGTTAAACAGATACTATGAAACAACTATAATCTGGCAGAATCAGACATATTTCAATGCAAAGGAAATGGGAACATCTACTTTATTCAGCTTTTTCTTCAAATTTTCTAGCGGAAACCTTTGACCCTAAGAAGTTCTTTGAGATGGTGGGAATGAAGGCCATGTCAGCTGAAAATGTCAAGAAAGTCTTCCAGGTTCTGGACGTGGATGGAAGCGGATTCATAGAGGAAGAGGAACTCAAGTAAGATCCAAACACAGAAAAAGAAGATTTAAACTAGGTCACATATATAGACATGCTTTTCAGGGTTGTACACTTGTTAATCTTTGTTTGTAATAACTTTTTTTTTTGTTTGTCAGGTTTGTACTGAAGGGATTCTCAAACGAAGGCAGGGATCTGACGGATGCCGAGACAAAAGCATTCCTCACAGCTGCAGACAAAGATGGCGATGGCAAAATTGGCATTGATGGTGAGAGGAAAGAGACACGATGTAAACACAGCAGGTTTTATCCTTGGAAATGAAGAGGAATGATGAGGGATGGCATTTCAGACCCATGCTGGGTTCAAATCAAGGATTTCGCCTTCGATTTGCATGACAGTCTTAAATTCTCTAACACTGTAACCAGTTATAAGAAAAAAAAAAATCCTTTTACCATTTGATTACAAAAAAGTGTAGTAGCAAAGGATTTTTTTTAGACCAAAAAGTTTTTTTTTCTACAGATAAAAATTGAAATTAGATCATATTTTTTTTCTTTAATTTGATAAGATTAAGAAAATATACAGCAGCTCCTCAGATAACATTAGAATTTCAAGCCATGAAAAGGATTCCCATTGTTATCATGTATGTTGAAACTACTAAAAAGCTTAAACCTTGTGAAGCTTTTTATGAACAGTGTTCATTGCGTTATGCAAGAGCTTCTTAATGGTCAACAATTAGTGGAATTGGTCAGAGAAAGTTCAAACTCCACTGCTGTGTAAGCTGCTTCAAGCATTAGGCATGCTGAGGTGAGTGAGGCTTCAGCAGAGCATGTACTTTTAATAGCGCAGTGTGAGATGTTATTACAGATCATTGGTAAAGCATTTACTGTATTCATTATTTAATTGAACAGCACTGACACCTATGTGTAATTCATACAGCATTCCTACATAACACTGCCCAAATTTTCCTTTCTTGTTTTAAAAATTTTTTAGCAGCCCGTCTTAGCTAATGTAGAAAATAGAGATAATACTGTGTCAAATGAAAAGCTGGTGTTTGAGTCTCGTCTAATTAATGAAATGTTTCTTTGTACATCAGCGAACCACAAAACTGTATGAAAGGAGTATAAAAAATATAGCTAAAAATGATTTACCAAAAACATTTAAAAGACCAAAGACAGTCTATTGATTCTTTCAATGAGTTTTATCCTGAAACCTTCTTGTTTTTTCTAAAATAATTATAGACCTGAGTTTGGTTTGTAAAATCAATTTGTAACCTTGGGTTTCTCTTCATTTTAAAAAGTTCTATGAAATTTTGAAGTAGAATCTATTTTTTTTTATCTTTAAAAAGCAAAAAAGAAAAATATTAAAAAAAACAACAAAGCAGCTCAGTGATTTATAATTACAATTTGCCAGTGTGATATTCCTACTGGTATGTTGGTATGTTTGAGCCATTTAATGATGCAACATAATGATGCAGCTGCTACCTCATAAACTAAATACTTGGAGTGAGGAAGTTCATTTTTTGGGAACTAAACTAAGATTATTATGGATCTTTTGTTAATGATCTGCAGCCTGTTATGTTGGGAATAATGTAAATCTTGAGCCAAATCAGCAGACTAAGCTGAAACAGTTTTTATTTTTCTTTGTGTTTTCAGAGTTTGAGACCTTGGTTCATGAGTAGGGGGAGAGCTGAGACTCCCCTTCATCCTCCGTCTCTTCGTTCCCGCATTTGTAAACGCCCCACCTTCCTACTCTTCCCACCTCCCTCTGGACCCCACTTTTTGGAGTCGGACCAGGCCTGTTCTCTTCCAAACAACAGTAACAGGCCCACTGGGAGTCACAATGAAGAGAATCATACCGGCAGTGCATCAGTTTCATTAATCCATTTTTATATATTTATTTAACTCAACATGCTGTACAGATTTCAGAATCATCCCTGATGACAAATGAGGATAAACTGTGGTATAAAAACAGATGGTAATAGTGCTGTGGGTGGTGTAGATGTTCAAGACTCCCTTAATCTCATTTTCTTTGCTCTGTCTTACAGAAGGTTGTGCATTATGTTTTCACTGATTTTATTTCTGGATGTTCATGCATCAGTTCACTTTCTTCCCACCGCACCTCCTCCTCCACCCTCCCTGACCTTCCTCCTCTCACCTCTGTCCTTTCCTCCGCCTCCTCACTTCCAAACTCTGATCAGATAATGTGGTTAAAAAAAAAGCATTCACATATAAGGAGAGCTGTAAAGAGAGAAGACACCAATAAGAAATGATAATAAAAAACATTTGAGATACCGTGTTTTTATTTGCTGGTGTCTACTGTGATTAAAAGGTTTCTCTCAAGCAACTTGCAACTAAAGACTTAAAAAGGTAGAAGGGCAGAGAAATATATTTATTTCCCATTGCTTACATATAATTTGACAGTTTCAGGTTTTATGAAGGAATAAAAAAAATTATGAAAACGGCAAGCAAAATGTTTTTTAATACTCTGAGACCACAGAAGGGCTAAATGCTCCTTTTATATTTGTAAAATAGAAGTCAAACACAAAACAATATAACATCTTAGTTACTGTAGAGAGACTTGGTAAAACAGCTACTCCGGTTTGTAGTTTAAATAATTTAGATAACATATCACTTCACTTTTTCTACACTATGAAAATCGACCAAAACTTTTCTAAGTCCGTCAGGTTAAGGGCCTTCACATTTCAAAGATATCATAATAAATGTACATGCTCCCTTCATGACCTGATGCCAGAGGCTGAATGACCCCTGGCCCCTATGAGTGATGTGGATCAGTGGATCCGAGGAGCAGATCTGTCGTTGGTCGTCGTTGGGCGAAGCTTCACGGTGGCAAATGGGTTTGTGCCCCTGAAATGAGAGTATGATGGAAAATGTTACACAACACCGTGTACGCTTAACCGGTGCCCAACTAGGTATTCAAACACGTTCACATGATCCAGGTAAGGAATTCTACCCCACAGCGACCCGAGACTAAGGGAGGTAAACTCTGACGGAGGGGAGAGAGGAGCCTGCACAGTTCATCCCACTAAAACTCAGTCTGAACAGATGTGGAAATGATCTGTCAGGATGTTGGCTCATCATTGCTAAAATGAGGATTCTGAATTTCACAAAATAAAAGTGTTTTCTTAAACTGCTGAATGTATTCATTACTTGAAATATATGCATCAAATTCCTTTATCAAATTTCACTGCACTGTATTTTTTCTAAGCACAGTGTCTAAAACCCAGAGTACAATGCATTCATTCAGGGATCAATAAACATAAGAAGCTTTATTAGAAGCTTAATTTGCATCTTGCTAAGAGCCATGTTGGTGACCCAACAAACCTCTGGAACCTGCTCTTGTCAGGTGAGATAAAAAAAAGCTAACAATATTAATTTTTATACTCCTTGTATTTCCAACCTAATATAACTGAGACACATGAATATAACTCTGGATTGTGTATGCTGCCTCAGGGCTCCCTTATACAGCTTAAGCTGATAGCTCGAGGCAGAAATTGGGGAAATATCGCTTTTTATTTGCTAATTTCCACTATAAGTTATTACAACCCTGATTTTGTTAAGTAATGCTACTTAGTAAATTAGTGTGACAGTGTTGCTATAATATTTGTATTTTCACCTAGATGGCCAATCCAGTGCGAGGGATCAAAGCCACCTCTTGTCCCTCTACAGTATATTAATTTCAGTTAGAACTGAAGAAGCCTCTTAGATGAGAGGAGCAAGGCCTTCTAAAAAACTGCTTTGACTGAACTTTTTCAAGCTAGATGAGAAATAATAAAATGTTAACTGTATACTTAAGAACAAATACCCAGTGAGTTTAACAACCAGTAATACAATGTCAAACAGGGCCTAAACAAGAGATCTTTTCTGACACCATGTAAGCACCCTTCATAACATAAACGTCAGGAGAATACCAGCGCCCCGATGTCTATGTTAGAAAAAAAAAAAAAGTTGCCTCTATGTTAGGAAAAAAAAAAAAAAAAAAGTCACTCAGGACTGTTGGAACAACATTAAAGCTTCTGATGAAACCACACAGGAGACGTTTCCCTTACTCAGACATACATGGTGTAAAAGACAACCCTTACCAAACCACGTTTTGATATTGCTTTCAAAGGTAAGTTTGAGAACACATTCACTTTTATCACCCTTACCACTACAGAATTTACCTGGGAAACAAAGGGTTATCGGGCTGCCCATGTGGAGACAATGCCTAGGAAAAAATAGCAGGATTAGATTGGCATAACTCATTTATACACAGCAGATGATCAGATGACAAAGAAAGTACCTGAGCATCAGATGCTATATCACCCTGCCTGTCAGTAAGAGGGGAGGCTGGTTGTAAATCTGCAGAGCCCCTTCTGAGATTCTGATTTGATGGGAGAGGAAGAGGTTTTGTCTCTATCGATGGTTCTGTCCTCCTGTCCGGCACTGGAGACACTGGTCGGAAATCTACAGAGGCCCTACGGTTGGGTGTGGCCGGGGGTGGGACGTCTCCATAGCCCTTGCCCTCTGATTGTTCAGTGTCCAGAAGGTTGTTCATGCTGTGACTTCTAAGAGAACCACTACTGCATTTAAAGAACCACACAAATAGAAAAGAGCAATCTGTTAACAGCTATAATTCACTTTTCTATAAGACATAAGTTATATGAGAGAATAAGGTTGAATAACAATTTTCTCTCGGTAAAGTTTTGGAAGAATTTCTGAGGGATAAAATTTCCCACCTGGTTGATAAAGTGTTGGAGATATCTTCAACAGGAGCCACATATGCAGCAGGAAACCAGCCCTGACTGATAAGACATAAAACAAAACAGATGCTACATTTACAGTGCTTCACAGAGTTAGCATACCCATTAAACATTTAGACACATTTTGTTGTCCTACAACAGAAAGTTCTGGTATCAATACTTTCTCTGAAGCTTTCTTTCAACAATACTATGTGAAAATTGGTTAAAGGTAAACAGCTACATTCTTTACGTGCCTTAGCCTCGTGAAAAACAGATTCATTATATAAAACACATAAAAAACATGACAAACAGCGATGAATGAGTGTTTTTTTGTTTGGACACAGAAGAATGAAGAAGTCACTGACCGCATGCTGCTGTCAGTGCGTCCATAAAGCCAGCCGTTGCGTGGCTCCTGGACCAGCACAATGACTATCTCTCCTCTGTTAAAAGGTAAAAGCTTTGGGTTGGATGAGGAGGGGTGCGACACCAGGGCCCTCATGGACCTTCCTCCTCCCAAACCCAAAGATTCCCCCACTGAACTGGAGCGGGAGCGACTGGGAAGGGGAGATGGCGCTAAAGAAAGTGAACAAAAATTAGAGTAATCTTTTTTCTTATTACAAGGAAAATTGGAAGTTTATAAATACATTTCTTGATCGTTTTGTGCATGATTTGTCATTTCTTAATAATTCACATCCGTAGTAAACCATTTTTCAGCGCATTACCTCTAGAGGGCACTCTTCCCAGTGCCAGCTGCTCCCGCCTGGCCCAGGACATGTCCTCCTCTTTGGCAACCGTCTGCAGCAGAGAGCTCACTGAACCTCGCAGCTTTGCGCATTAAACAAACAGATTAAATATATTTTAAACTCTATGTACTCACATGGATTTTATAAGGCAAAAACAAATAAATCAGATAGTTTTTTATGGGGCATTTATGCAGTTAAATGAGCTCATGTAGTTACAGAATTTAGTTAGGATATATAAAAAAACAAGGGGAAAAAAACACTTTAGTTCTTTACTTAAGCCATCTCTCTTCAGGGCTCACACATTACATCCATGGATATTGACGTTTAGATGCACTTATACCCCTTTTATATAAATGAATGTGATTCATGATATTAGATAAAGTAGCATTTTGAGATTGTATTCACTTCAATATTGCAACAAAGAACCACTTGCAAAATGATGACACAAATCAGTCCACATCACTTCATCTGTGAGAAGACCAGCTGCAAGAGCAGCATATTGGATGTTTTACAAAATCTGAAGCACTCCATCCATCCATCCATCCATCCATCCATCCATCCATCCATCCATCCATCCATCCATCCATCCATCCATCCATCCGACTCTTAAAACGAATAGAGGTTTAACTACCTGTGCCTCTTGATCTACATGCGTCGGGGTCCGTGATTTGGACCCCTTGTTCTCGTTCACTTTCTCTTTCCATCCATCTGCCTTCTGCTGGAGGGATGCACCGGTCTGAAAGTAGATGGGGGAATTGAGCACCTCATTAAATCACAAACATAATCAAGGTGAAACGAGTTTAACGTCTCTGCTCCAGTAAATTAGAGATTTGCCCACTGAGACTTGAGTTTCATCAGAGAAGCAAGCAATTGAAGTGATATTACAAGGCTAGAATAGGAATGTTAAACAAATCAAAGTGTTGCCTGAATTAAAAAGATGCAGGGTGAAATGATGAGAATGCAGCAAACACACACAAAAAATTGATTCTGATCAAAACCCTTAAAAAGCCTAAATCTCTGTTTTTATTGCTGTAATGAACATTTTTCTGTCATTAAGCAAAAGAGCAAATGAGAAACAGTGGTTGTAGCTTAATGTACCATGACACATTTTTTATACGCATGAACACAGTTAATTACCAAGACTGAGAGCTACAGAGGGCCCTTATCTTCACATTACACTGAGAAGAAATGACTGCTGATGTATTTCACACAATGCAATTATTATGCTATTTATTCATCAGATTTATTAGGCCTGCTCAGAAGGTTTCAGATTAGTTGTGTTTTAGTTTTCTACCACATCAGCTTCAAAGTTCAAGAACTTCATTTTGTTATGTTTTATGCAAAGGTTACAAATGAAACCCAGCTTCTTCAGCAAGATTTTTTTTTTTTTTTTGCTGTAAGTTCAGTTCTGAAGAACAAGTGACGAACTGACGATGACATTCTGAGACCAGATCCAGGAAAGAAAAACCCAGCAAGGCTGACGTTGAACCTTTTCAGTCAGCAACACACCATTGTTGTTTTTTCCCTACTGCCAGCAATAGAGGTAAGGCAATTTTACCTTCTGAGAGACTAGATTGGCCAACTGTCTGGTTTTGGATCAAAGTAATGAAACATCCCCTGATTTTGTTATATGTTGCTGATGGGCCAAAGATTGGGACCTCGGATTCCAAACAGTTTCAGATTTAAGCTATGTGGTCTGAACCAAAAGTCAAAACTTAAAGAGACATTTTTTTCATAAAGTTATACATTTGATTACCTTATGGTACCCTGTATAATAATTATCAGTTACCATTATAACTTCTCTTAAATGGGTCATAGAATGATTATATAGGGTATTGGTCCTTAAGGTCTCTGAATAAGGTGTGTAACATTGGTTCGGCTTAAAATGGCATATTTGCTGTTCTATGAGCTCTAATGCAAGCCTGGTTAAAAGCCCTAGAATGAAACGACAGGTTTTCTGCCTTTTATGGTATGATCATGAATATTTAGATGAGCTGTGCTCTGATTGGTTGGTTTACAACGAGCGAGGCTGCTGAGCAAAGACGCATCATAGCAACAAGCACTCACTCACTGAAACATCTAAATTGTTGATATGGTAGGGTGACCAGACGTCTTCTTTTTCCGGGACATGTCCTACTTTTCATACCTAAAAAAATGTCGGGGGGGAATTTCAATATCGTCCGGGATTTTGGTCGACTTCAGTGCAGCACGTAGTTGAAAAAACATCGAACCGAGCAGTCAGCTCCAGGGCTGGTCTGGGACGGGGACAGGGAGCCAGCTGGGGATGGAGCGACGAAACCAGACCCCATTACGGTAGCCTGAACACCGGCGGCCCCGGAGCTGACGGCAGGCAAGGGAGAAGCATACCGTCACCGGGTCTGGTTTGGTCACTCCATCCCCAGCTGGCTCCCTATCCCCGTCCGAAATTGTGAAAAAAAAAATTCACAAACACAATCTGTGTAGTTTGTGTTTAGTCCCTATGACTCAGTACTTTGAAGAACCAGTATTTGCTACAGAGACAGTGACCTCCTATAGGTTTTCTTCCAGGATCACCCTGCATTTGCCTCCAGCCATCTCCCATCAGCTTTGTCCAGGTTTCCTATCACTTGATGTTGTGTCTACCTTCCAGTACAGTTAGTGTACTGCTACATATATTTGTTTTTGTGCATTTCTGTAGTTATATTTCATCTATTTTTCTATGGTACCATTTGACTTATTTACCACTTCAAAGTAAAACCTTGAACTTAGCAGGAGAAACTTTGTAAGAAGTGATTCTACCCCTAAAATATAAATCAGGTTTTAATAACTTTTTTCTCACTGATTTATAGACAGATGGGCATACAGAGTAAGACACCTGAATATTTTTAAGTAATGATTAAAGCATATGAGTATTAATATTTCCTTCCTTTTTATTAGGAAGGAAATAAGGAAAATGGAGAAAAAGAGTGAAAGGGAGAAAAGAAGGGAAGGAAGGAAATGAAATGATGAGAAGGAAGGAAAAGCAAAACAAGAGAAGAAAGGTAAATGTTGACTGCTTTATTTTTGGCATTGTTATTTGTATCTTTTTTGTTTGTTTCTTTTTACATACAGTTGTCTTGTTTAGTTGTAACTTACTTATTTTTTTTAACTTATATTCTATATATCAGCACATTTGGGGGAAGGGGTAAAATGTAAAATACATATGAAAATCTGTAAAAATGTGTTTGTTGCCTTTTCCAAACAAAAATGTAAAATTAAATGATATATATATATTTTTATGATACTGATTATGTTTGTTAATGGTTAGCAGTAAAAATAAGAGAGCTGAAACTAAAGCAACTTGTATATTTGTGGCTAATGTTTAACCTGCACTGCAAACATCTAGTTTCAAAGGACTCTCATTATATATAGCTTTTTGCATCAGTTTTCTGAACTCAGCACCTTATAAATCATGGTTGCTGTGTCCTTTAATACTTCGTATTAAAATGCACACAGAAAATCATCTGGATTTTAATTGGAGTTTAAAATTGGCCACATTTTGGGAATTAATGCCTATTAGCTGATTCTTCCCCCATGAGCTGTGGATTTCTACAGAGTTACTATAGACCTGTTTGCTGTTTCTCCGAATAATGATCTACTTGTCTAGCCAGTGGGTTTATTTCATATGTCTAGTCATTGGAAGTGTTTCAACGGTGTTTCATGTGATGGTCAAAGTTTAAGGTATTTTGATAATCAAATTCAGCTAAAAGCTTCCCAAAACATGATCTTTTTCCTGTCGGTCTCTCAAGAAGCTTTGTTCACTAATCTTGAAAAATAATCTTAAGGTCGATATTAAAAATTTTTATTGAGATGACCCACAGGTGAAATCAAGGCAACTGGATGAGCTGGATTTCACTGAGAAGTTTCAAAGTTACTAATGCTGATGCAATAACACAAGCCATCCATCTATTCCTGCCAGTGGGGCCTGTCTCCGGCAGTCTGTGGCAAAAGGTGAGGTACACCATGGAAAGGTTGCCAGTCCATCGCAGGACAACAAAGAGACATACAACCACACACACACAAAAGCACGATATAGGGAAGTCAATTAACCTAACAATCAGGTTTTTGGACTGTGGGAGGAAGCCGGACTACCCAGAGAGAGCCCACATGTGCACAGGGAGAACATGCAAACTCCATGCAGAAAGACCGTGGGCCGGGAATCAAACTCAGAACCTTCTTGCTGCAAAGCAACAGTGCTACAAACTGCACAGCCCAAATTGTAAGCTCTATTCTTAAAACTACATATGCTTTTACTAACACTTTCATATATTTATGTTTTTTGTTTTTATTTTTGCTGTGTTTTTTGTGCGTTTGTTGTTTTGTTCATCACATAAAATCCTCCTGAGATACTACGAAGAAGTTAGATGACAAAATGTATTTAAGGGTCATCAAACTTTTCGGCAAGGCACTGCTGTGGTTTTCATAGTTATTCGCTGTCTCCTTTGTGCCCAGAGATTTAGGTGTAAAAAGTAGAGTTTTTAAATTTTAACTTGAACCTTATTCAGATTAGGAAGCAGTACTGAATAAGATCTGAATAAATGTATGTAAATCTGCATGATAACACTTGAAAGCCAGAGCTGGACTTAAGCTTCATAAATGTTTTTTTTTTTTTTTTTCATATTGTGAGACATGCAGCATATCGATTATAAATACCTTGTTTATGAGAAACAGCAGGGACTGAGTGAGGCCACAGTGCTTCTCTGCAAGGAAGCGATATCTCCGTTCCTCCTCCTTCAGGATCTCCTGGTGGCTCTGCTTCAGGTAAACCATATATTCACTGTTCTCCTGAAAACATGAATCGCAGGGAAATACTTTAAAAAAAAAGTAAAGAGGTTTTACTTCTTCTTTGTGTATATATGTGTATTTTAGCTCTACCAGAGAGTCTCTGAACGTTCCTCTTCTAAGTTGCTTTTCCAAGACTTCTGCCTGGTTCCTCACCTCCATCTCGTATACCCTGCGACTGCCCTGCAGCATTTAACAGTTAGAATCAAGAACAACAAAATATCCTGCATCTTTCTGCTGGGAGTCAATCCAGTAATATTTATGTTCATGTTTACTTTAGTTAACTAGCTCTGCTTATTCCTCTTGGCTGACATTAAAGGGCTGCATGGTGTAGGTTCTCCTACTTTAATCAAAATCTTTGCAGTCTTTCAAGACATGGAAACCAAAAGCTTTCCTATTTCAAAGGCTGACAGAATGCAGTGAAAGTTAAAGCAGCAGCTTGGGACTGTCTGGCTTTCCTTTACACATATGTGATGTTCAAATGTTTTACCCAGGGGGCCAAAAATGTCACATTGATAGTACTTGGAGAGAACATTTTCCTAGCGCTTATTTTATTTAAAACTTCATATTTCTTTTATTTTTAGACGTGAACAGTTAGCTTAAAACTAAACTTCTTTGTGAAAAATTATATAAAATAGTGGGATTTCTGTAGGATATGGATCTAAAAATGGATGCAGGTTTTAAACCAGAAAATAGTCTTGGCGGTTTTTAGAAAAATAGATATAAACAGCAGAGACTCTCTTGAATTTCAATTATCTTTGTCTAGATTTAATTTGTATATTTTTGGCAAGACGATATTTGTTTCATATACCTTTTTGAAAGACCTCCCAAGTTGCACCTTACACTTTTCTTAAAATCTTTATTATCACAGGGCCAAGGTTGTACACATATGATTTGTGCTCCTTGTTACTTAAAATAACTTAACATCTGCTATATGTTTCTATGTATCTCTTGAGCAATATTAAAATAAGTTTTTTCATTACAAACATTTAGATATATTCTGCCTAAGCTTGTAATGAATGCTTAAAAATTTAGAACACTTTTTTCAGAGGTTGTAATTCTCGTCAATTTAGCAAAAATGTATAATTCTGGACATTTTAAGCATTGTGGGTTCCCATTTTAATGAAGCAGGAAGTGATTTTTGACGAACCTCATTAACAATACATCTGCCAGGTTAAGAAGCCTAATGAGTATTAGAATCAACAGTTTAAGCTTACTTCCATGTACTCCTCATCTAGTTTGACATTCTTCTCCATCGCTTGCAGCACCTCAATCTGGAACCACTGAAACTGATGCAGGAAGAGAGTCAGTACTGCAGCTAGAAAGAAAGCATTACAAATATGTCATATTTGTTTACGCTATGCAGTTTTGATTGGTATTTTTTATCAATTATTATAGTTGGAAGCTTTGTCACCTCACTCAACTCTGAAAGACAGGACATTAAATTCGTAGGGACCAACGGTTGCAGTTCTGAATTCTCCCGAGTGATGCTCGACTTAACACGAGTGAATAAAGTGATTGTAATTTGGTTGTTTATCAAGGGGGCGGTGGATTGTTGTGGCGGAAGTTTTGCAAGCAAGTATGACTGTTGCCGGAGTCTCTGAAGCATCTTGCTAACCACTAAGCAACTTAGTGCTAGTAGGTTCCCAATAGGAAATTACATTGGGACCAAGTAGCACTTGGCAACGACACTGTCAAGGAGCGCTATCGACATCGGAAACATGCAAGAGGAGGAGAGTTTTGTGTCAGAGGTCATGGATGAGTCTCCTCAGTCATACATTTGTTATTTAGAGGAGAAAAGTGGGGATGAAGTTGTGGAAGAGGATGCCAGGACGGCAGAAGCTTGGTTTGGTGTAGAAGGCTTACAGCCGTACATGTTTGAGCCCTTGCCTCGCAATGCTGCCAGTTCTGTTAGCTCTACGCCTGCTGAAGACACAGACGTCCATCCCTGTGAACACTGGGACGGAACTCAATGGGAAAGGAAAGGATTCTGATTTCAACCGCTGCGACATATGAATCAAGATGCTATGACTGAAAAAATTTGATTGACAGATGACCGTTGATATATGATTGGCAGAATTTAGGTGTACAAATTGACGTATAACTAATTGGCCTGCATAAAATAACGAAACAAAAAAGCACAGATTTTATGACTTTTTTTAAAATAGAAATTTTCTAACTTTTGGGACAATATGGTCTGATAAAAAGTAAATTTATATACATGTTTAAGCCATAATGATTAAACATTTAAATATGACTTCTCTAAGACTTTAAAGCAGGCCAATCCAATTTTTTTATAGCATTTTTCAGTTGCCTGATATTCTTCGTAATCTCACTCAACATCATTCATACCAAATTACCGTAAGGCTTTATGTTTGCACTGCCAAAATTACTTATATTACATGATTTAGGGGACACTTTCATCAGGAAGCTTGATCTTTTTGTTATTCGAATGGGAAACATACTCACCAACCCTTCCATCTCTGCAGTAAGCCTTCTCTGTGATTCAGAGATCTGCATGAGAACATCACCTGTTTAACATATAAACAGACACCATGCTGGGTTTGCACAACAAAGGCTTATATTTTTATTTTAATAATCCTTATTCATGTCTGTTTAGATTCATAGAAATATTGTGAGAAAAAATACACAAATAATAAGATATTTGTCTCTAATTTGGTTTCTACAAAAAAAATATTTTGAAATCTAATTTTGAGGGGAATCACAACAGTTGTATAAAAGAATTATCTTATGAATTTGATACATTACAAGAATCCATATAATTTATTGAAATTTTAAAAAGCGTCCAAGAGAAATGCAGAGAAGGGTGAAGACGTGGGAGTAGGTAATATTTTTTCAGGGGTTTTTGTGTTTGTTTTACACATGAAAATCTAGAAAGTGTGGCATGAATTTGTATCCAGCCCTGTATACTCTTGTTCTAAATAAAATCCACTGCATTAAATTTCCTTTAAATTTCTATGAATCACCTAATCACCGCTTTGATTCTGTTTTATCTTCCTGTATTTTAATCATGTAAAGCACTTTGCATTGTCTTTGTACTGAATTGTGCTATACAAATACATTTGCCTTGCCTTGCCTTGCCTAATTTATAGACAGGTTTTACCGTCATGTAATCTTAGGCCAACAGTAGCCGTGTTTCCATTCAATTGAAATTGGAATTTTAATCAAACTTTAGTTTGGAAAAAAGGAATAAAAAACAAATATTTTAGTCTTTAAATTCTCAAAGTTTTTCAAGATACCTCTCATAAGGTGAAGTCACAAGGTTTTTGCAAATATTAAATGTAGTATTTACTGAGGTAGTTTAAATACAAATATTGACCTTCGCAATTATTAATACATTTATAATTTTTATTGGTCAGCAACAAAACAATCAATTAGAACTAAATTAAGTTTTTGATATTCCTTTAAAATTGGTAATAGGTTTAAAGAGCTGTAAAATATTTTTCTGTCCCTTCCACAGTTGATATGGCCATTCAAAGCTAATTGAGCATAAAATCACTGAGTCTGGAATACATTTTATATCTTAAAATATATATATGTGGAGTTACTCGTTTTAAATATAAACATGCAATTGTCTCACCAAGAGAATGAGATGAAAGGGTGTGAAGGGCCTGGTCACCCATCTTAGACAGAGCACTGAAGTAGGCCTCACTGCAAACAGCTAAAGCTGCAGTAAAGACACAGTCAAATCTTCCAACAGACATTTAAACACAGGCAGCAGGTACTGTACCTATTAGATATTCAGTATCTTCACACATTTTAGAGATGCACTTAATTGGGTTACCTGTCCACTCTGTTCTTACTCATTAGGAAAATAAGCCCTGAAGTGCTGACACCTGATATGTGCTCTGGTCTAGGAATAGACTCATGCCAGAGGGTTTTGTATTACAACACTCCTCTGTGACTGAAGACCTGTTCTTCTTTCAAGAGGAGGAAGAAAGGCACATTAACAATGCATGCTGCTCTCCTGGTTACCTGTGTTTCACTTACAATGAAGACTAAAGAAATGCCAAGATAAGAAATTGTGTACATGAAAAACCAGTGTGTTTAGATTAAGCATATTTAAATTTCATACTGCATTATCATCACCAAATTCTAATCACCACTTTAAAATCCTGTTTTTATGCAGTGAAAATCTAAACTCCATCCATCTTAAAAATATTTGAATCAGGTTATTTGTTTTCATTTAAACTCATCCTTTTTCTGCTTTGTATCTCTAAACAGATTTATTATCTATTTCTTTGGGTTTTGAGGATTCAGCTGGGGTATAAAAATTAATCTGAAGTAAGGTGAAAGTTATTATTTATTTAAAAATAAATTATATTAAACCCATATTCCATTGACTGCAGCTTTGATCTTTTTAGGCTATTCTTTTAAAACAGCGGTCCCCAACCACCGGGCCGTGGATATATATATATATATATATATATATATATATATATATATATATATATAATTATATTTTTTATCGACGATCAGAGTCTGAGTGATGTTTTATTTTGAAAAATATAGAAAAATGCGGTATTCTCACCCAATTCTCTCCAATCGGTGCATCTGTGCCTCTTGACAGAGGTTAATTCAGTTCAAGACTCATCCTATCTATAACATCCTATCTTTGTGAAGCGGAATTTTCTGCAGTTACAGCGACCAAAACAAAGCTACGGAGCAGACTGGACATCAGGAGCACACTTTGTCTGTCATTTTATCCGATTACACCTAGATGGCACCGGCTTGATGTTATATTTTTATGCTGTTTGTATTTGATTTTATGCCAGTCGTATCATTTTACTTGATCATATCCCCAGCCGCCCCCCTCCGGCCGGTCCGTGAAAATATTGTCTGACATATAGTGGTCCGTGGTGCAAAAAAGGTTGGGGATCGCTGTTTTAAAACACAAGATGATATGAGTTGTAAAAACTGGAAGTGGCCCATATCTAAATATTACCTGCAATAGATGTCCCTCACAATCAGTGATCATCAAGCAGAAACAAAATATCCACAAACAGGTATAAAATCTTTGTCCAACATATTTTGTAGTGGACAGCTCTTTTGTAACTACATAACTTAAGCATAAAGGAGCAAAAGGGTAATTACCTCATGGTGTGGTTTAGAGCAGCAAGAATTGGGAAAAAATGGCTTAAAAAGCCATTTAATTTCCACATCTTCTCCACTCTAACCAGTTTTATAAAAATATGGTATTTAAAAACATAATAATTTTCTATATAAACATTTATTTTAATTTGCTTTATTCTCTTGAAATTGTAAATTAAGAAAAGCATTAAAATATAAGACATAGCTTGTTGGCCAACGCTGACCAACTTACTCACCTTGGAAAGCTTTAACATAACTATTTCCAAGTGCAACAAGCTTCTGAAGACCTGGGTTGAAATGCTCCATTAGGCTCTAAAATAAATTAATGTGGTTATGAAAAGTAAACATTAAACATAAACAGTCCATTATTTAGCTAAGAATAGCTTAAACTTACAGAGTAGACACTTAAAGTTGATTTGTGCAATTGATCACTGCTGACTCCAGACATGGCGACCGATTTTTAAAAAAAGATGTAGATATAACACGAAAACACCAAAAAGATTGTCAGGATGAGCTGTAAAACGTCTGAATTCCCATTGAAGTTTCTGAAAAACTATTCGGTCTTTTCTCAGTGCCAATAGCGAAAGTCACTGTGGTTCCACCCCTACTGCTGCTGGCAACAATATTCTCTCTCCTTTTGAAGTCTTTTATCAATGAGCTTCTTAAATGCCTTGTCAACACCTGTTTTCATGGAGCGAAACAGCAAGCAGGTGGAGAGGTGAGGAGGTGGCATCCATGGAATCAGATGAAATATTAAACTGAGACCTGAAAGGAAAGGAGATCCGCCTATGACGTAGGAATCCACACCTGAGGGAGGAGCTTCAATTGGGGTGAAATCAGCCAATAAAAATGCAGAAACCAAATAATTGCAATGGTTTCTTACAAAAGAGTATTCATGTGTCTTATAATAGATCAATGCACTACAAAACAAGAATGCAGACCCAGCTTCAACAAATGGCTTCAGTTGATAACAAGTAAGGGAATTCAATTTAATTAATTTATAATTTTTTAACTTGACAACTCATTAGATATACAGTACATAAATCTGATTGGATCCTAATTCAGTTGCTTGTTACCAGTTAACTGGAGCTGCATTCTCCTTTTAGTTAAATTTAAAAAAACAACCATCAATTGTTCAACATGACAACATATGATGTCTGTCATTACTGCTATAATTACATTCAGGGTTTCATGTTAATGGTTAGAAAACCTTGAACCTTGCAATCTTTTTAAAAACCTTTTTTTCAATCCTGTTTTCTTTTCTGTTCTATATGTCAACAACTGCTTTCTTGGTAGCTTTACTTCTTTCAGAATAGATTTATTTGAAGTGAATAGAAAACAGTAATTCCTTTCAGATAATCAAAAGGAATGGGCTGAAGTATGGTTTCAACCCCATCCTTAAAATAGATATAATATACAATATTTAAAAAGGGGGGACCGAAAGGTGTGCTCCAGTTACAGAAGGATCACACTCTTCACCTTTACCCGGGCAGGTTCATCTGCCCGAGTAAGATACACTCCAGTGTGCTGGAGACCAGGATCCGGCCGATAGTCAGACCTTGGATCCAGGATGAACAATGAGGTTTTCGTCCCAGTTACGGCACTCTGGACCAGCTCTATACCCTTCATCGGGTGCTCAAGGGTTGGTGGGAGTTCGCCCAACAAGTCTACATGTGTTTTGTGGATCTGGAGAAGGCTTTCGACTGTGACCCTCGTGGTGCCCTGTGGGGGGTACTCCAGAAGTATGGGGTCTGGGGTCCTCTGTTAAGGGCTGTCGGCTCTCTGTATGACCACAGCAGGAGCTTGGTTCGTCTTGTCGGCTGTAAGTCAGACTTGTTCCAGGTGCATTTTGGTCTCTGCCAGGGCTGCCTTTTGTCCCTGGTTCTGTTCATTACATTGATGGACATAATTTCTAGGTGCAGCCAGGGACCGGAGGGTGTCCTGTTTGGGAATCTCAGGATATCATCTCTGCTGTTAGCAGATAATGTTGTCCTGTTGGCCTCATGAAACCAGGACATCCAACATGCACTGGGTCGGTTTGCAGCCGAGTGTAAAGCAGCCAGGATGAGGATCAGCACCTCCAAATCCGAGGCCATGGTTCTCCACCGGAGAACGGTGAACTCCCCTCTCCAGGTTGGTGGAGAGTCCTTGTCTCAAGTGGTGGAGTTTAAGTGTCTTGGGGTCTTGTTCACGAGTGAGGGACTGATGAAGCGTAAGAATGATAGATGTATCAGTGCAGCGTCGGCAGTGATGCGGTCGCTGTATCGGACTGTCGTGATGAAGAGAGAGCAAAGTCGGAGGACTAAGCTCTCGATTTACCAATCGATCTACGTTCGCACCCTCACCTATGGTCATGAGATCTGGGTAATGACCAAAAGGACAAGATTGCGAATACAAGCGGCCAAAATGAGTTTCCTTCGCAGGTTGGCTGGGTGAACCCTTCGACATTGGGTAAGGAGCTCAGTTACCCAGGAGGAGCTTGGAGTAGAGTCGTTGCTCCTCCACGTTGAAAGGAGCCAGCTGAGGTGGCTCGGGCATCAGTTTCGGATGCCTCCTGGTCGCCTCCCTCTGGAGGTGTTCCAGGCATGTCCCACTGGGAGGAGGCCCAGAACATGCTGGAGGGACTATGTCTCTGAGCTGGCCTGGTGTCGCTTTGGGGTCCCCACAGAGCAGCTGGAGGAGGTGTGTGTGGATCGGGAAGTCTGCGCTTCCCTGCTTAGACTGCTGTCTCCTGCCCCAGATAAAGAAGCAGATAATGGATGGATGGATATAAAACTAATTTTAAAACAATTGTTGTCCTTTCAATTATTTTATAGCAATATCAAACTTTTCTGGATTTATATCACATATATAATAATTTATCTACAACAACAATAGATTTTTATATATATATATATATATATACAAAATATCAACAATAGAAAAATCTAGATCTCTAGCTGTACAACCATGCACATACTCACACCTAAGGACAATTTAGAGAAGCCAATTAACCTAACAGTCATGTTTTTGGACTGTGGGAGGAAGTCAATGTACACAAAGAGAATGAATGCATTCACGGTAGAACATGCAAACTCTAATGCTACGTTTACACTGCAAGCAGCAGAGGCAGCAGAAGCAGCTAGTTTACATGCAAAGTCAATGGTTAAGGTACATCTTGGTGCAGCAAAAGGTCCTGCAGCACGTTTTGAGCAGCAGGAGCAGCGCTTCTGAGCAGCTGATGTAGGGCATCATGAGCTTCTGAGCATCTGACGCTCTCGACGCGCTTCAGAAGCAGTAGCTGCTGGAGTTGGAAAAATTTAACTTTTGCTGCTCGATGCGCCACTTCAACCAATCAGAGAAGCTGACCTGGGAGCTGGCTGGGAGACAGACAGACACAACACTGCTGATGCAGATGACTATGATCACTCCTCTGAAAAAGTTTAAGAAAAAATTAACTTCAAATGTCGAAACCTGACATTAAAATATGTTTTATTTTATTATTCTGAAAAATAAAACCGTGAAGAGGCGACCGGGCCAGAGGCTGTTGTTCAACGGCATTCCTAGTGACAGAGCACCGTCGGTGTACAGGGGTCTGAGCGGCTCCAACAGCAAAATAATATTTGAAGGCAGAATGGTAATAGAAAAAGCTTTTTCTGGTGTTTGTATATATTTCCCTCCCTCTTAAAAACTAACAGTTTAGGTAATATTGCATCCAAGCTAAGATGTTTAATGCACTGAAACTGTTGAAGATTAAAATTCAATGTGAAGCTCCATCACAAGGTTAAGGATGATACATTATCTCTCAGAAAATATGGAATAATCTTTGTTTCTATGGTTAAAGGTTTGTCCAAACAACAAACAAGTTCTCCATTTCCACATAATCATCAGAAGCTTTTACATTTGATTGGCTTATGATTACAGTTAAGTTTGTAGTTTTAAATATATAACGTGTGTTTTTAAATTATTTTCAAATTTTTATCATATTTTTTATTATCTTGTTTATGTTCTTATCATATTTATGGAAATAAAAGTTAATATTGCACAAAATAAAGAAAGAGAAAAAAATTGAAATCCATCTTCATTTTATTTATTAGTGTCCTTTTTGGTTTTAAAATATATTAGAAATGTCCTTCAAAGATTAGAAAACAATCATCCAAAATAAAGGTTGTAATAAATATGCTCACGATAAGTCAGTGAAAAATAAAACATGAACATTTTTACCGAATTATGTATTAAGGGAAGAACTTTTCTGTTCCCAATGAAAAAAAATATAACAATATAAATAAGATCAAACAAAATTATTTTGTGCAATTTTCAATAACAAATCTGAGACAATCTATACAAAACAAACTTTGTGTTTTCTTCATAAATAACATGTTACTGAGAACAACATGTTAGAGAAATCAGATAAATTACATATTTTGCAGCTTGTTCTTGTTCTTCACTATTTTAAATCCACAAGGTCATCATAGATGACATCTTCAGCCCCTCCGTTATCTTTATGTTGCTCTTGGCAACGACCTACAGTCTCCAGCACAGTCTTTAAACGCCGACTCAGAGCTGCAAGGTGAGGCTCAGATAGCAGAGGAGCCACCTTGTGAAGAGGATCCTGCGCCAGCGACGCTCTCATGACATCACTGATGTGGTACTGAGGTAAAGACAACAGGCGGAGACGCAGCCAAGTGGAGCGACGGATTCTGAGCACCAAAGAAAAAAGGCAGGTGGGAGATGAGTAAGTTATAGATTCGATCGGAGACAAATAAAGCCATTTGAAGTCGAACAAAGTGTTCATATTACTTGAAAATGTTATTATTTCAATGAATTTAATAACTGTGGTGTTAAGGGAAAATGTTGAGATTTCAAAATAAAAAATTTTCAAATGCATCTCAATTCAGCTCCTTTGAGTCAATACTTTTTTCAACAATCCTTCACTGGGTTGTTGAAACAACAGTTGCATATCTTGTGGGATATGGATCCATTAACTAATTCAGAAACTTTCAAGTTTCAAGTCTTTCCACAAAATTTGCATTCCATTTAGACAACAAACCTTTATGTAAAGCAGGGCATTTGTAAAAGAACAAGATTTGATTTTTTCTTCATACCTGCAGCATTGTTGCAGTGGGGCTAAAATTGAAGGTTCATCTTTTGAATGACGCCCAAATCTGCAGCAGAAGCAATTCTCATAAAACAGACACTGTATATCAAATTCAAATAAAGACATTTTCTACAGCCTTTTAAAACCTAATAAAATCTGCTGATATACTCACGCCCTCCCATTGTCGAGATGCAACAGGAAAGTATTGTTGCCAAACTTCTCAAAAGTTTCATAATGATGCCGGTCCATGTTACCTAGAAGAAGAAAAAACAATTCCAAGTCTCTTCTTTAATACATAAATTTTACAAAATGCATAAATGTATGCATAATTTCATAAAATTCACAAATCAACAGAAACTCCAAGTTGTAGCATAAAAATTTTAATGAAACCCTCATTTAAGACATGCATCAGTTTACAAAGGTCAGTTTCATCAATATCCAGCAGACGTATGATAGCTTAACTCTGGGTTAGAAGCTGCTCAGAAGAGTCACAGTGTGCTCACTAATCTCACCCTTCTCAAACTACACAAAGCTGGACTGAGTATGGCATGGAGAGGAACCTTTGTGATGATGTTGACATCACTCAGTTCCAATGTTTCACTCTTACACTCTTCATTCAGATAGAGAGGACAGTTGTAGACTGGTAAATGAGGATCTGTTTCTGCAGCTCGAAGATTGACTATATCTGTTAAATATGAGTTTTCACAAATCAAATCAGGAGGTGCATCGTTTGTGGTCCTGACTTGAGCCTTGACACAAACAACCGGCATTGAAAATGGCTCAGGGGAGTCAGCTTCCTGTAGGGCTCCTCTCTCTGAGTCCCACGATGCTCCTATCAGCTGCAGGCCACATAAACACAGGGCATCTGGAGGAGGCAAGGCAAGGCTGGTGCTCTCAGACAAAACCTGGGGATACAAAAATAATAAAAGTTACAGCAATGATTTACCCTATTATTGTACTAGAAAATCCAGGATTTTTAATAAAGCAGTAGTTTAGGATTTTTTCAAAGTGGGATTCTGTTCAAAGGCTGCAGATAATATTTTCCCGGCAGTAGATTCAGAAGAAAAGGCTCTCCAAACTCCTGCTTAATTATTTTCTCTTAATGTTGTTCAATCATAGAACCAATTAACTATTGTAATATGGCTTATAACCTGTGCAAATCAGTTGAAAATGAAAGTTAACAGAACAAAAATTTGGTCGCAGAAGTATCCACACCCACTACAACTGATGTGATCTTTTTGCTTTGTACCTCCTCCCTCTAGGGGAGATTTTTAAGAAGCATGGCATGTCTTACCATGTCTACGCGGATGATTGTCAAATTTACATGCCTATTGCCAAGAACTATTTTAAATTTGATAAACAGATCAATGGCGGTTTAAAATCAGGTTTTTATCATCTTCCTCTTTTATGCCAAGTAAAGCTATTTTTTTATCTTTTAATCTTTTTGACCAAGTCGTGCATGCTGGACTACTGCGATGCACTTTATTTGGGCATTAGCCACAAAGCACTGCGGCACGCCTTTTAACAGGCACCGAAAAAACGTAAACACATCAACCCAATCCTTGCGTCTTAAAACTGACTCCCTGTTAAGTTTAGAATTCATTTTAACATATTGTTGTTTGTTTTGGCACCTCAGTACATTGTAGACCTCATCCAAATGTACCCTCCCCTGCTTGCTGTGAGGCCTGAGGGCCAGCTTCAGCTTGTGACTCCTTTGATGCATTGGAAAATCAGAGGGGACAGAGCGTTCTCCGTAATCGGCCCAAAGCTGTGCAATGCTCTGCCCCTCGATATGAGTATGGCCCCCACTGTAGAGTGTTTTAAATCTCGTCTTAAGACTCACTCTTATTCTCTGGCTTTTAGCACTGTGTAAGTTGTGTGGTCTCCTGTGGCTTTGTATCTATTTTATTGTATTAAACAGTTTTATTTATATTTATTGTTTTATATCTACCTTGTGGTGTGCAAAGCACTTTGGAAAAGCTTTGTTGTTTAAATGTGCTATATAAATAAAGTGCAATGGATTGGAGAAATATCCTCTCTATTCAATACCTCTTTTTGGTGACAATTATTCGTTGGAGCTAGGTCCGGTCCTAAATAGATTTATACTAAGTGAAGATGCCACAGGAGTAATCAATATCTTCAAACCTTTCACAAAAAACTCACTTTAAAAATCCTTAACGAAAAAGCAATTAGGTGACTTTGGAAAAGTTTCTATTCCTAACCTGAAATTGTAGAATTATATCACTGATGTATTTGTAATTTTTTCGAGCAGCCTCTTGCATTAATGCCAGCAGAAAGCGTCTTGGCCTTTTAAAAGCTGCTAGTCGATAAGCACCAGCTGGATCTGAAGCAGTGCAGTGACCAAGATACGCACTGAGCAGCTCTGCCCTCTTCTCCAACCGAGACAAGTCAGTGAGCCATAACAGGGAGGAGGAGGATGACTTGTACTGAATAGGCTGCAGGAGATGTGAGAGGAGCAAGGCTACCAAATCAGTGAGATCATCCCATTCAGCCTGGAGGAAGTCACGAAGGGGACTGCAAGAAGAAGCTCCCATGTCTCTAATCGTTCCATCTTCCTTGTGAGTGAGGTAAATCTTCAGATCCTGTAGTCTCTCTCTTGCTTTATTGTAGGCTGGCAGAGTGACAGGTGGTTCATGTTTAGGGCTGATACTCCCAGCTGTTATTAAAGGTGTTTGTGAGCCCTGAAGGAGTAGGTTTAAATTGTTGCTATTTATTTTGGCTACTTCAGAGGCGACATCTGCACCAAATCCGAGCATAACGGGATTACTGACAGATAAATCCCGGAAATGTTGTTCCACAACTTGCATTAGCGCTGATAAATCTATGAAAGAAAGAAAAGAACATTTTGTTAGTGCTGAGCATACTTTACAGTACATAATTACACTAAAATGCTCCATAATTTTAATACATTTGCATCACAATGCATAATGCAAAAAAAATACAACACATTAAAAAACATGTTTCACTTTCTCTTCATATAATATGCACTGGTCTATCTCATAAATTGTAATATAATGCAGTGAACTGTAAAGATGTAACCGAAAAATTAAACCAACTGTTTAAAGGGTCTGAATAGAGTGTAAGACACATAAATGTATTCAGTCTGTCAAAGCATTTCAGGGACTGTGGACCCAGCCTTAGAAAGAGTAAAATAGTTACCATAGCTACCACAAATGCTGATCAAATCTGAGGAGATGAATGGTCCACTGTCTGAGAGGGCTGACTCTGTAGCAAAACAACACTTGGCAACACTCTCCACCACCTCTGAATCTGCAGAATCTGATATATGGCCGCCATGAACAATACTGGCTGGAAATACAAGTGAAACATGATTAAACAGTGCACCCAATTAGTAAGACTGATTTGTTTTTATAATATCTTACCAGCTATGTAATGCAGGGCTTTAGATTTATCATGGCACTGACTGGCAATGGAAAAATATGCATCTAATAAGGTAAGGAGGTCCTCTTGAGTCCTTCAAGAGAGATTAGAAAATCTCAATGTATACAAACAGATGTATCCAGATATTCAGATGGACACATAAGGAAGAAGAAGGAAAAAAAAGTCTGGACACGAAATAACACACTTAAACTCAAAATGTTTGCAGTTTTTTTTTCAACTATCTGTAACTTACCAGTGATACAGTGTTCCAAAGCTTAAACCTTTATAAGTTTGCCTCTGTACCAGAACTGAATGGAAGATAGCGCAGCGGAGAAGTACTTCCTTGTTGTCTTCTGACAAATCGGGACATGACTGAGCCTGACTGACTGAAAACACCTGCTGGAAGGAGCAATGTATCTCCTCCTTCAGATCCCAGGGAGAGTCACAGCAAAGTGGCAAGGCACACATTCTCACTACAGCTGTGAAAAACAAAGAAATCATCAACACAATTCCAGTCATCATAAAAAAAAAACAGTGTTTTAATAAAACAGTAGAAAACATCCTGCTGAGTCATGTTGCAGTCATGATGGTCTGAACATCATAGCTAAATTGTAAATACCTACCTGGTATAGATTTAGCTGCATTTTCTCGATTGACAAGCCATAATCGAAAGCATGGATGAATCAGGCCTTTATCCGCTGGAAGGTGTGGAAATGTTTAATTAGCAAAATAAAATGAGCAACTAAGGTATTGCAACAATGAATTTAATAGGTTCTGGAGGTGCAAACAACGTTACTTTTTAAGGAAGTTGTCAGCTGGCTGAGGCGCAACACCACTTCATCGTCCCAGTTATCCAAAAGATGACAGTTGTTCAAAACCAGCCACTGACCTTCATTAATGGCTTTGTCCAGCTTAGAAAAGACCAGCTCTTTATCACAATGGTCTCCCAACCAAATGACTTTTACCTGGACCTAAAATATGTTACAGGAAGATGAAGTGAAGAAGAGAAAAATGGAGCACTAACAGTCCCACGTTTTCATAGGCCAACACAAAACACCACAAAAAGGAAAACTAAATACATGGTTTTCAAACTCATTCATGTATAAAAAAATTTAAAATCTGGTATGCTCTACTCTTATCTGCTTTAATATAACACAGATAACATGAAACAAGCCATGAAAAACAAGATTTTTCAAACTAAGCAAAGTTTAAGAAGGGACACCTTTTTTAAACAATTTTCAAAACTTTAAAGATCTTATGGAGGACTGTTCAACTCATCTATTAAGAATTGGGTATTCACCAAAAACTGGCATGTCGGGCAACTAAGAGACAATAAGATTCAGGAGGAGCTGCATTGATCTACAGCTCAGGTGGGAGAATCTGTTGACATACCTATTAAAAATGGAATCTAGAAATCTTATTGAGGAAAAGTAGAAGAAAGCAACTGTTGTCATATGAATGTAAAAAGGACTTTAGTCAAATGATAGTAAAACATGACTTTTTAGAATGTGTGCAAATGGATGCAGAAAACTAGACAACAGCCTACACTTTAAAACAAAATGATGATTTAAATTAATCCAGAGCTACAGTGAAATATTATCTCTGTTCTGAAAAGTCAAATCAGTTGTTAATTGCTGTTGTATCTCAACCAGGCTCTAGATTCAAACAGCTTGTAGAGACATTATATAAAAGATAAGCACCAAAAGAAGGCTCTACAAAGTATGGAATTAGAAGGTTTAAAAAAATAGCATGGCTAAATTTCATGTTTGTTTGTTTTTTTTTCGCAATATGGGCAATTTTATGTTAATCTATCATAAAAACAATCCTCATAAACTACATATATTATTCTGTGAGGTGTCACATAAACATATGAGAAAAAATAAGTAAAACAAATATTTCAAAAAGTCTGATATATTACTTAATCTAATATAAATAAAAACTGTAACATTTCAATTACCTTATTCATTCCGTCTTTCTGGGCCAGCTCATATATAAAACGAAGAGGATCAATTCGTGGCTGCATATCTCTGTCTGAGGTATGTACTGTAAGAATAATGGGTCCATCAATTCTTGCCAAACAGTTTGAAAGGACGTCTGGATTCACTGTTGTTTTTGCAGTAAAGCAAAGTGAGCAGGCATTTATAGAGTCTTCTAGTTCCTCTAAGCATTCTGGGCGCATGGTTTTCCATAAGATAGCCCTCTGCAGCATCGACAGGTGAGAGTGAGAGCAACAAGGAACATTTCCTACTATGGTAGAGGAAGTCAAATATAGGTATTCCTGCCACTGTGTGGGAGAGGCAGAGAGAGAATCTATCAATCCGTTGAAACAGGGAATCCTTTCCAACAGTAGCAGCTCGGAGTGAACATTTGGGGGTATCCAGTTAGGCAGGTCTGCTGAGGAACGAGCAGTTTCACACACGATGACTGAAGTTGCTATTTCAGCAGCGTTCTGCTCTATACCTTTAAGACCTCTAAGGAAGACCAACTTTTCCGCCTCGGAGCAAAGCTGATTGAACTCAAGCACTGTAAGAGACACCAACAGCTTCAACACAGCAACATGTCTTTTAAAGAGACACGGCGTGTACTGTATGAGTAGCTGGTGTACCATTGTGTTTATCATCTCTGGTAAAATGCTCTCTGGTGCTTTTCCAGTTGTGTATGACACTAAACACCTGCCCTTTACACTGAAAGGCGCTTGTATCACTTGCATGAAATTTTGCAGGGAAAAGAAATATGCAGGAGAAAGATGGGACACCGCCTGCAGCGCCTGGTAGAGGGCAACAGCAAACTTCATTAACTGACGAGGGGAGGCTAGCAGGGATTCATGGTAATCCAGCTCTTCTCTCAGCTGCTCTTTCTCAGCAAGTATTTTCTTCATTTCTAATTGACAAGCAGCCAAACGAGGAAGAGAATCCGAATCTTTGAATAGCAAGCTGTCAGTACGCAGGATATAGTCCATCAGTTCTTCCTATGAGAAAAATAATAGCCATGTATTAATGTTACTGTCTTTCTATTTCTAAAGTTTCAAATTTAATGGTAGACTGGAAACACATTAAAGCTCAACCTCTGAAAATATTTGTCCTAATAAACCCACAACACAAACTGATTGATGAAGGAAAATGTCTTTTAAATCTTCTAAAAAGTATGGCACAGAAAAAAGATTCAAATACAAACAGTGCTGAAGTCACCTCTGCTGAGGCCAGTTTTGCCTGCAGAGACTGATTGTAATTCTGGGATCGAGTGTGTCGAATCAGCAGCTCTCTACACTCAGACTGCAACAGCTGTGTCAGCATCAGCTCCTGGATTTCTTCTGAGCTCAGAGAGAGGTCAACCACAAGTACTTGAGCCAAGATGGACGGATCGATCTCTGGGGAACAAGGGTAAATGAAACATTGAGTCATTACTTTCAAATGTGCAGTGAGAGGTCATCACCACAAAGTCATCCTGTTTTCTGCACAGATTCTACGTCCGGACCTCTTTATGATTTAATTCCAGGTTTTTCTTATATCAAAAAATGCATTACAAGTAATAATATGCATTGAACATCACATTTTGACATAATGTGACAAAATGTGATAAAGTTCAAGAGTTATTAATACCTTTGGAAGGCACTTTTTACTACTGCAGAGCAGATAGTAGGGATAAATTAGCTCTCAGTTTGTTCTTCTTATAGAAATTAGCTAACAATTAAAACAAATGCCTGAACTTTCAGTACAGTATTACAACATTAGAAAAAAAATGTTTATGTGGGTAATATTAGATGAGAAAATTGTAGCAGATCTCCTTTACCACTGCTAAGAAGTCTAACAGGCAGAGGGGTGCTGAGGAAGAGGCAGAAATCAGGATGAACGGGCTGAAGAGGCTGTTGTGGGCCATGAAAGCACTGTTGTCTAGGATGCACCAATTTTGCAAGAAACCCCAGACTAGATTTTGCACGTTCCGCATGAGTTACTAGTACTTTCCATCCTTAAAAAGAGAAAATATTTACATGAGTATATGACTGATAAAAGCTCTTTAATATTTAAATAATAGTTACCTTATTTGGTAATTTACCTTTTACAGCAGCAAGATCCAGCTTGTCAAGGAGCTGCAGATCATCTGCACTCAGAACCATCTCAAACCCAATCTCTTCCTCAAACTTTGCTTTTGTACCTGTACAGAAGGTACATAGGATATACTGATTCTAGCACATCCTAGACTTGTACAAGACATAATACCATCATGCAAATTATTTAATTTCAGGCTTTATTAAGGACACAGTGTGGTCATTAGTAAGCACTGATACCATTGTAGTACCACAAGCTCCAATGTACCAACATAAAGCAGTTATCAGCTTTGAAGTTACATCAAAGTGTAGCAGTGTGTTATAGTGACCCAGTAAAGTCTAGACTAAAACCAATCAAGTGAATGTGGCAACGCTTTAAAGCTGATGTTCAGAGAAACTCTGTAACATCATATCTAACTGATATTGATCTATCCTGCAAACAGCATTTGGCAAAGACTTCAGTCACTAAAAGACTAAAGCAGGTAGAATCAAAACCCAAAACACTTGTTTTTTATAAATTTACAACTATTTACTCAGGGCACTGAATTCTAAGCATGATACATTATTTTGATTTGCATGTACAAACATTTAAAAATCCTCTTTGTTGTACTGTCATACTTCTAATTTTATCCAAGCAAATTAAATATAATTTCAATATCCTTATGTTTCCTGGCTCAGTGTTGTTGCTTGTATTAGGTCTGTTCAAGATGAAACGCTTGCGACTGTGAGGATGTACCTGTAGTGCAGCACATTTCTGAATGTTGCTCCACGTCTGCCAGAAGAGCCCAGCGGTTAACACAGGCCTCTTTATGGCCCCATAGCAACAGCTTAACCAGAAGTCTGGTTGACAGACTGTCCTCAAGCTGCCATTCGTTTATCCCTAAAATCCATGCAAGAGGCAGCTGAAGCCTCTCACTCACAGTGATGGGAAATCCAGGAGATGGAGAAATGGATTCTCTGCCTACGTCAATAAACAGCAAGCTCCTGAGGTCCTTTGGGTTTATATCGATACTTCCAGTGCGGCAAAGTTCCTGCCACTTGCTTAGTAGTTCTGACCGTAAAGCAGCCCCAAATGGACCCAAATAGGAGATGGTGGCTGCAAGAATAAGGGCATCACCAGGTATGTTCTGACCACACAACTCTGTCTCCTAAGGTACAACAGAGGAAAAATTCATTACCAAATAAGGCGTTATTAAAACCTACAAGCCTCCTTAATTATTCAATGAATGAATTTGGCCATCAAACAAACTGTATTATAATAAAGAGATAAGAAAAAAGAGAAGGGTATTTATTTTCAAAGGAGGATTTTACTTAATTAGGAGAAAGATATACACTGCCAACAGTAAAGAAATTTTTAAACTAATGTCTGAAAAAGAAAAAAAAAACAATCTGGAAGGAGACTAATAGTTTTTCACTGTACTATAAATACAATATAAAATCTAGGGAACATTATTTTTTGGAAATTGTGTAATACCGTTTAGAAAACATGATTGTCCTGTGCAGGTTTATTATTACCTGAAACGCAGTTTTCCATTTTTGGATATGCATCTCTACCTGCAAAGCACATGCAGTAGCTTCTTCTTCTTGGTCCTGAGCTTTATACAGCTGAGGCATCAGGAGCTCGAGCTCAATTCTAATTTTCCGAAGCCGAAGCTCAGTGTCCTCTAAACGCTGGATGGCCTTCTTCTTTTGCCGCGCCAACAAGAGCTGCTGATGTCGTGCCTTTTCAGCCTCATCCTCTAACTGTTGTTTGTCCGACTTGTTCCGTTCTACATGGCAGTACTCGTATACAGCCTGGACCCATCTGCACAGGGACTCACAGGCCTCACTGGCCTCTCGGACGGACTCTGGTAAAAACTCAGGACTTTGAACTATCTGTCCAAGCTGTCGCACCTGCTCATTTGTCAAACTTGAGCGATCAAAGAATTCCAGCTCCTAGGAAAGAAAAGACATTTTTTAACCAAAGCAGCTCTTACATTAATTTGACGAAGATGAATAAGCACACAACATCTGAGTTCTCTCTCTGGCAGTGAACGCGTTCACAGGATGGCACTCTTTCTTCACACACCTGAAAAAAGTTGGGCTGTCCGAGGAGTTGCTTGGCACTCTCCCAGCCTGCTGGACGTTTAAACATCAAACAAACAGCATTCATGACCTTCACCACCACGTCAGGTGGATCCCTGTAATGTCGGACCTCCTCCAGATCACTCTGATTCAGGCATTTCGCAATCTTTAGGCCTGAGAGGAAAACTGATTTTATCTTGTAAAACAAAGCAAAAAGATAAATGTAAACATTGACCAAATGGCTTTACACATACTAGTTGTTCAGAAATAATCTACAAACCACTTCCTTTACAAACACAAGTTAACATTTTAAGGTAACATTAGCAAACATCACTTTGTGTTTTACTGTACAAAAGTTTTTTAATTCTATTTCATTACTTTTTTTCACAATATCGTCACACAATTTCATGTAGGTTTCTTTGGTCCCTGTTGAATTCAAATTGTCAATATGAGCTCAAAAAACAAAAAGTATTCCATAGTAGAATTACATTCCATATCCATATTCCATATTTTTTATTGCAAACAGTCAGTTTTACATTATAAAAACTCCTAAAATGTAAACTATTGATTTTATTTATGTGCAAATGATGAAGGCATAGAAGCCCAGCTCGACTGATATAGCAGGAAAGTACAGTGTTTGTCAGATTTGTAGCCAAACCAAGGTTCCTCTGGAGGAGCCACAGACATCCACAGCCCAGGTAAATTTGTGGCAGGACAGCCAGTGACTGTTCACTTAATAAAATGGTCTTTATAGATATGTGGCAAAAAGGCATTGATGTACAGTAAGATGGCCATAAGACTTCCTAATTAAAGTTTTTCACAAACCATGTAGGGGGCACACTGGTCAGAAGTCTACTTTTTAGTAAATAAAAGCTGCGGCAAATGTTGGTTCTACAAAGTATAGAAACAGCTAGTCTGGATGAATATGCAAACCGGACACTTCAGCTCTTTGTGTGTGAAAATGTTCAAATTGTAAAACTTACCATATTTTGAGACTGTACAATCTGCTCTGCCAGGTGATTCAGTTTTCTCTCCCCAACAGCCAATTTCTTCACAGCTATGTCAAGCTGACCCTTCTTCTCTTCCATAATTCCCATGATTTCTTCCATCATCTTTGTAAAAGAGAAACCAAAAAAATCTCTGGTATATAATTATAACTAGTTAATCCTAGAGACTAACACATCAGTTGATTACTGTTATACAGTTATTTACAACAAACATCTTAAATATTGTAATGAAAGATGACAAACCCTGTACTCTTAGAATGACGGTATGTGAAATTGCTCTCAAATACCTGCTGTGATTTATCAACCTGTTCTTGAAGTTGTACTAGATGTTTTTTACACCGTTCAGATGCGTTCCTCACAGCATCCAAATGAGTTAGAGCTGTGGTAATCCTAAAAGATAGAGTTGTTTTAATCCCAATAACATTTTTTATGTTTTAATCCAGAAAGACCATATTCAACATACTGATCTCTATTAATCAAAAAACACAGCCTGACTTTAATGTTATATTTTAAAAAGTAGACAATAATTGGTGTAACTTCTGTAACTTTAGAGATATCGATGGCTCAATGATTATATCCTAATCTTTAGTGACACAGTGATAACACAACAGATATAGACTGGTTTCTCAAAACAGCATCTCATTTCTGAGAGGACCTTATTACTTAAATGAACGGCAAAGTAATGGAATACTAGTGAGGGGTAATCAGAGTAAAAGGGATTTAAATTCAAAAACAAATAGAAGCCAGTAACTTTTGGAAATTGCTAAATGGGTATACTAATATCAGGTATCTGCAAATGTAGAGCTTTTGTTTTTAAAAACACTGCAAAGGGTTAGAATGATGATTTATCAGTCACCTGCTGTGTTTGTTTTTCCACTGGTTATACAGTTTGCTGCAAAGAGAGCCAAAGCAGGTGATAAACTCAAGATAAGTCGAAGGGCCGAATGGTTCATATCCTAGAAATACGGAAGCATGCCGACATGCAGACTGATGGATTCCTCTAATGGCCACAGATAAGCTTCCCACGGAACAATCTTTGGTCGCTTTTTAAAAAACAAACAAAAAAAAGAATTAAACTTTTACTTGAAACAAACAATTGAAAACAAAATATGTTGTATAGATGAATTTAGATGATAGGGCTCACTTTCATTAGGACACATTCTGAGACACTTCACAGCTACTTCTGCCAAAGACTGACTAGACCATGGCTGATAAACTTCCACACAGCAGCTGAGCTTCAGGGCTTTGGACAGCTGTACCTAAAAAGGAAAATAAAATGTGCAAAAAATATATATATTATTACAGAACATACAAATTGTTTTAAGCTTAAAGTTTTTTTGATAATTGCACATGCATTAAAAACAGTAGAGCCAACATTTGTATACTTATGGTCATCAGAAATTATAGTTAATTTCACAAACATATTACTCATACCATTATATAAAGTCACTTACACTCCAATCATGTGTTTCTTTATTTGCAGTTATGTCACTTTGTACTATTTGAGCAAAAGGCATCAACAGGAACACATGGACATTTTTATATTCTTCACCCAAAGACCTTTGGAACACAGAGTAACAGATTACTCAGAGTTTACATGTCATATACAAACCACTAAATTTTGAAGTTTAATTTCATGTTTTCACCATAACTATACTAGAGTAGTTTAAGAAAAATAATTTATCAATTCTAAAAGAGTATCATAATCAAACAATGTGCTGGAAGCAGGAAAAAGGAATAATTGTTACAATCTAATCAATTAGAGCAAGGGAGACAAAATGCCATTCTCATGTGCCATGTTCAACAGAGGAGCAACTGTAATCTGAAATGCTATAGGTATCGGAATATAGTGAGGGTACCTATTTTGCCCATAAAGCCATGATTGGTGTATTTATGGGTGCTATTCTCAATGATAAATTGTTTTACAAAATGACTAAATCCTAAATGTTTCACTTACTTTTCATTTATCCAACTTTCTTGTAGGTATTTCCTTTGGTGTTTCAGCGAAGTCACTTTGAAAACATGGTTACCCAAGCTTTCTTCTCTGTAAAGCAATGGGAATGCTTTCTGGGCCATAACCATCAGTAATTCTTCTCTCACAGAGGGACTGATGTTTTCATGGACCAGAATGACGACATTCACTCTGTCCACACTGGTTTTAGTCCTTGCTTCTTTTAAGATTTCATGGAACTCAGACTCGTTATCAGAACGTAATTCTAATACCTGATAACCTGCGATGTGGGCAGCTAAACGTACAGCAGTCTTACGCCCTGTTCTCCTGCCTGATCTAATCAGCAGTCCATGACCTCCGGGTAGGAGTAAAGCCCTGAAGATGTGAAGTAGCTGACTCATCCCTTGTCTGTGCACAATGTATCTGCTTGACATGTTGAAGACACCACTGACTTTTCTATCTAAGAATTCATGCAGCTTTTGCTGTAGTACATCAATCTCTTGCTGCTGATACAAGCATATATCTTTAATGTTTTCTGGTTGTCTTACATATTTCGACGCCTCAAAGAACTCAGGAGCAAACACAAGTCTAGGAATGTCTGTCTCTATCTGCCAATCTAGTCGTACTGTGCGACTTTCTGGGTTTGCTTCCTCTCTGGAAAAATCTCTAGATAAAATCTCCGCTTGAACTTTTTGACTATCGGACCATTCAGCTGGAATCATCCCTTGATGTCGACTTTTAGCATCATAATTGTGATCCTTTGAATGAGAAGTACATTTAGGTTCCACAGGTTGATCATCTTCAACTTTCAGGGTGTTCACATGAGTTTTTTCAATAAAGTGGCATCCATAATGGGTTGCTGCTGTCTTGCCAACAAGGGACAGAAAAACATTCATTTCGTCCTCTGAGCAGAGCCTATCACTGAAGGTACGCATGCACTCATGCATCCAGAGATGTATTATGTTAAGAACTGCTACTGAAGCAGTTGATGGGGATGAATAAGAGCTCGGAAGCAAGTTTTTGTCTTCATGGGTTTCTGTGCTTAAGATGTTGTGCTTCCACAGGTACATCCCTGAAAACACCTTCTGAATGTCATGATGAGAAAACAAAAAGAATGGTCTCTCTGCCCTGGGCTGAAATTTTTCACAAACAGCATCATAAAGATTTTTTGTTGCAGTGATGATACAGTTTGACATTTCCTCTGCATTACAAGTAAGTGGTATTTTTCCAAGCCACATTTTTAGCCTTGGAGAATAGAAAGAAAAAATAGTATCTTCAGAAAGGCTTGGGAGCACAAAGATGGAGAAAAGTCGTGAGAGTCGTAAAGATATTCCATGACTCCCGGGATCACCCAGTGTGGAGATATCAGCCGTAGTCAAATAGTTGACGGCTCCTGAACTTAGAGATTCAAAGGAGTAGGAGTCAAATGTCAGAATCTCTCCCTTTGACATACTTTGACGTAGTGTCTCCAAAACTGTTGATGCTTTACCGAAGACATCTTTCATAAAATAAAACATAAATTAATTTCAAAAGATTTTGATCCATGAAATGTAATATACAAATTATTCTACTTTTACTTACCACAGGGGGCTTCATGCAAATCATCCACTAATAGAAGCAGACTTCGCAGTTTTTGTACTGAACACTTATTATCTTTACTGTTCTTCTGACTGCCAATATTTTTCATTATGATATGCAGGTCTCTGCGGCTTAGGAGTGGACCTGCTGTAAGTTTAACTGAGGGCTGATCAAAACTTAAGCTGTTGCTCAGAGTGGTTCTCCCAGAACCTGGCTCCCCTGCAAGAAGCACTGGCTGGTTTTCCTTCAGCATTAAGTTAAGAAGATGCCGGTAAGTCCCCAGCTGTGTCAACAGAAAAACATTTTGAATAGTTTGAAAAGTTGTAGGTGAGAATTTGGATGTTTCATTCATTTTTACAGTTATTAAGTTAATTTAATGAACTAACCTTTGGAGTAATAAAATCTGAACTGGAACACATTTTACCATTGTTGGCAATAAAGTGTTCAAATAAACTGTGTTCATTTGGAACTTGCATTTTGTACCTGGAACCAACCAGAACTTGGCGGGCTAACACGTTAAATTGTGGCCAATACCTGAAAAAGAAATAAAACAGGAAGGTTTAAAATAATACAAATTAGAAAAGATGTTTATTTATTTGTTTAAAACTGGTTAAAAACATTTATTTAAGATTTTAATACCGAGAGTGTAGATGTCCACCAAATCCCCAAACATAAGCCACCAAGAAAATGTTTCTTGCGAGAAGCTCGTTATCACCTTGAGCTTCAGTGCTTTGGTTAACAGTTTCACCTAAATGCACACATGATTGAAAAATTAGTTATTTAATGTCAAAATAAGAAACAGAGATACTATCACTTGGTTAGCAGTTGTCTGTTGTGAGTGTCATACCTGTCTTGCCCTTTTGGAGTTTTGTGTTTATTTTATTCAGTTCCTTTACAAAATGTTGCAGAAGTGCTCGCAGGATCCTCGTGAAGGATGTAATTTCCTGGAGTCCATGGTTTTCACATGAACCCTTTTCAAAATGATTTGCAGAAGTTAAAGCATGTTGCCCAAACAAGCTTAGTGTGCTTGAGAAAAGGTCATCAGCCAGTCTATTCCACATTTTTTGGACCTCTTGACTCAGTTTATGCTCATTCGAGAGAGTCTTAATTTCAGTCTTCCATATGGCCTTCCACAGATCAGGCTGTGTGAAATAAACAAGGCCACAGCGAGTGACAGCAGAGGGACTTGCATCTTTTAGGTCAGTGATCTCAAAAAGTAGATTCAGTTGTGACAGAGCTAAGACTGTTTCACCTGATGACAGACATAGATGTGGATCCTGGGAATCGCCCAGCGTAGTTAAGTAATCCAGCCAGCTAGGTCGACCCACAGGTTCTCCATCCATTACCAGCCACTTCACTAATTGTATCTCTTTACTGTCTTTCTCATTTTTGTGGGTATCAAAGCATCTTCTTTCTGAATCTTTAAGTACTTTGGCAACAGCTCCATCTTTCCATCCTCTCTTTTTACAAGAATAGCCAAATAGCTCATTGTGGGACATAGCATTAGGAAAAAAGACCAAAGTGTCAATGTAGCACCAGTTCAACGGAGGGACGTGTGGATCTACATTTGCGGAATCTCTGTTATTTATATTATTTGATCCCTGCATATTTATGCCAGCCAGTCGGTTTAATGCCCCAGCCAAAATGTTGTAACAGAATGTTTTCCCACTACCTGAGGGGCCTATAAGAACGACCATTTGAGAGAACTGCAGCGCCTCATAGAGAGTAAGAGCTTGGTTTATGACTTCTGTGTCACAATAGAGGGAAACTTCTAGCAGCTCTTCTACAACTGCATGTTGAAGTTGATCTTTTTCTCTTTCCTGAATATATTTTCTGAAATCTGGAAACTGAGACACTATAGGGAATGTGTCCTTGAGAATGGTGTAGAACTGTGGGGCTTTCTTGTGCTCAGGTATCAAAACAGAAAGAATGGCTTTGACAACTGCTGTTTCCTCTATCAGAGCTTGTATTATAAACAACTGGGGATTTCGTAGCTTTGGAAAGTTGGTTTCCTGTTTTTCTTTATCCAAATGTTTGTCAGGCAAACTTTCTACAGACAAAGGATCACTTTGTTCAGCAGCGATCACTTGAGCCTGAATGGAAATTTCTCTCTGACTTACAGCATGTTGTAAGTATATTTCTGAGGCAGAGATTATCTTTTTCAAGATGACAAGAAAACAGCTTTGACTGTCATTGAAAAAAGCAGGCAGAGATCCAGAATCTTTGATCAGGCTGAGGAGGCACACCAGACGATGACCTAAAGACGCTGCTTCTAAGAAACCAGTAGAAGCCAGTGTCACTTCAGCAACAATTCTGTAATCGGGGTGTGCCAGTGAAACTGGTCTGGAAGTAAATCGCAGACTTTCTGGAATATTTGATGAACACCAACTTGATGAGCTGAGAAAACATCCATAGCTTGGGTTGGGAAAGATTGTTTTCCCTAAAAGCTTAAAAGGGCTTTCAGGATCTGAAGCATTTATGCAACCAGAAAACCCGGCTGTGGTTTTACATTCTTCCATCTTGCACAGTTTTTTAATCTTTTGTTTTTGCAAATTGAAATAGTAGAGGTGAATGTCAGTAAGAAGATGTCCTAGTACATAAAGGACATTTTGGGATAGTAAATCCACACTTTCCAACAACAGCCACACTCCTCCCTGAATGGCACCCAGCAACATCCGTTGGACAACAGAAGATCCCATGCTTGGAAAGCACTGTTTAACCACGACTGGTTGTCCTAGGGCTTGGCCCAGCTGAATTACAGTATTTGTTCTTCCGGACATGGATGGTCCATTTACAAACCCGGGCCTGTATCTTGTAAGAGCAAGAACAATCCCAAGCGTTGCCCTTTCCGTAGAGGGAGTATTTACCATCAACCATTCATCTGGTCCATAATACTCAAAGCCGTACTGGAAATGGTGGTCCAAGATATCCACATAACATGATGGATTATCACTGCATTCCAGAATCCCCTCCTCTGAGTTAATATGGTACTTCAACATGCTTAACCATTCAAAAGATGACTCAAGGGCCCCTGGTTGGTCTACAAGTCGAGACAGTAACTGCTCATGTTTCATTGCAAGTTGTATCAGGGCACGCAGACACACCATTCCATATTTGGAAATCAAAGGTTTCTCTACTGAACCAATAACTTTATTTCTGATGACATTGCCAAGGATGTTCAGTTTAGATAAGTTGTGTGTTTTGACATTGCTCAACTTTAAAGGACTTCCTTTTTCCAAAGTCTTTAGAACACTTTGGCACCAGAATGCTTCCTCAACCACCAGAAGACACTGAAGTGGAAAATCCACCAGCAAATCTAATAAAGGGTGTACATCTTCAATTTTAGTAGCATCGCACAACTGAGGGCCACCTACTGCACTGTTGTATTTTGAATCTTGACTGACAGGTTCAAGCTGGCTTCGCAGTGCTGCACATTGTTTTATGAGCTTTTGCACTGACAATTTCAAGTGATATTCAAAAGAGCATAGCCAAGCTAGGGTATCGGGGTTTGGGCCAACAGGAGGTTGAAAAGAAATGTATTCCTGGAGGCTGCCAAAAAACCCCAGAACTTTCATTTGTTCAGGATTTTTGGATGAAGACCTTAAGTTCTCCAGATGTCTTGTATCTGACCTTGATGTATGCTCCACTTCAAGCAGATGCACACCGTGGAATAATTTCCGTAGGAAAATTTGCTGTTTTGATACCAATGGATGAAAGGAGAGTAGTTTTATTATTTCCCTGTCACTCATGAAGTAGAGTCTTGGAAACTGCTCACAAAAGCATTCAAAAAGTTTATCCATGTGGTTGGAAATGTCTTCCATTAGTAATAAACCATCCATGAGATTCTTCCGAATGCTTTCACCATCATGTTTGTGTGTCATTTCAGACAACACAAAGCTCCACACATGCAGGTCTTTTGAGATCAACTGTATCACTCTTTTAAAAACATCATCAATTTGTTGAAAGTTGTTAAGCTGAAAAGAAATAATAAATCCCACATGTAATGATGTTTCAAAGCACTAAAATGAGATCTGTATAAATTGTGTACATACCAAGTTTACTAGTTCATCATAATTTGAAGTCTTTCTAAATGTCTTTGTCAGGAAGGCCCACATTTGCTGGTATCTTTCTAGTAAATCAAGCAGCTTAGCTACAAATAAAAAGGAAAACAATGTCATTTTTTAGGTACCGTGGACACAGAAAATCTTTGTTAAATAATAAAGATGACTTTACCAAGAACATTTAGAGACTGAACAAAATCCTCGAACTGCAGCCTGAACTTAACACTTTGTGGAGACTTCAACATGTAGGAAAGTGTTATCAAATCCCTCTGAGCTTCAGCAATGAGCGTTTCTATTCCTGGGAGAAAAAGTAGAAGAAAACTGCTGCAACATAAACTTCAACAGGAGGAAGTCACCACAGTAATTCATCTGCAACACAATGCAATTATACAAATAGATTAGATAGTCAAGTCTCACCAACAATGGTAAATGTGGGATCCATACAGGAGTATGGACAGGTAGATTGAACTCTGGAATCAGTGGATTCTGTTTGTATCTCTTTTTTGTTTAATCCAAACTGAGCCTTACAGTGAGAGCAAACAGGGACAATGAACCCATGCAGCTGGAAGAGTCTCTCTTTCCACTGTAAACAAAGTTTTTGGAAGCGCTCCTCCAAATCCCACTCTGTTTTGGCCTCCCTGCATACCTGATCATATAAAAGGTACTGGTCATGTTAAGAGATCATTAAACCTGATTTCCAAAAACAGATTATGGTGTCGCTGTTGCCATTCAATCACTACTGTGACAATTTCTGGATATAATCTCTGTGATGTTTACTTGCCTTCTGTATTAGTATTTGATCGGTTTCAGACATAAGTGCTGACAAAAAATGACCAACAGTCAAGTTTTTCTCTGGGTTTTCCAGGAGGCCCATGCCTGTGAAACACAACATTTTATACATATCAACCACTGGAATCACATGTAGTTCCATTTTTGAATCTTTATACCACTTAGACTTATTTGTATTTTGTATATTATTATTGTGTTATGGTGTATTTTCAATACATTTTTGTATTATAGACAAAAGCAAAGTAGAACATTATTTTAAAATGAAAAAATACAAGATTTTCAGATTTTTATACAAAAAAAATCTGAACAGAGTGACGTGTTTCTGTGCTATGCGCCTGTAATGACTTTGACCCTAAAAAGAATTTAATGGCACTAATTATCTAACAAAAACATGAAATTAGAACACAATAGAATTGAATGGATCATAGCATATTCTGTATAGGACCCATCCAGTCAGAATTCATAGTTAAATCCAGAGTCTTTGTGACAAGTCTTCAAACGTGAACCTCAAAGACATTCCAACTAATCGGACATTATGTATTTTGAAAAGATGGTGGGGCAGACATATTTTCTTTAGGTGTGCAAAGATGATAGAGATACACCCAAAAAGACACTGATCTGATTGAAGCAAAATGTAGTTCTTCAACATTTTGACTCTAAATACAGACATATCTCACCAAACAAGAATTTTATTTACAAAAAGGGATACAAATCCTTGCCCCTTCATTTCATAATATAAGTACCACTTAGTGTAAATGTTCAGGTTTCAAGATGATAGCAAGTTAAAAAATCCAAGAAAAATATATTTACCAGTCCCTGTCTACAACAGATACTTTATGTTGTGGCCATCATTACCAATATTAAAATATACATAGACAAGGTCTCTAACCTTGAAATATAATTCCCCAGTGTTTCTCCTGAATTGTGGGCCTCTTTAGCTCTTCCAAGACCTCAATCTGGAGGCTTAATCTTTCAAGGACTCGTGAAGTTTCATCTAGAACCGCATCGCCAGCAGGAAGGAGACTTTTCAAAGACTCTGTCTGATTTTTCCAAAAGGCAATTTTCTCCTGAGCCTCTGACACGCCAACCTAATAATAAAGGCACATCGGCAGAAAAAGGACGTTTAATGCAGATTTATAAAATTATAAAAACTGTGTAATTTATCCATGTATGCTTATCCCCAATATGATAGATTTAAATGAGACTTTAGCTTTATAAAAATAAATAAACAGATGCTAGAAAAAGAACAAATTAACTTAAAGCATAACTTAAAATGGAGGTGTCTTGCTCACTGTGACCTTCCTTTCCACATTTATAGATCATTCATTTGTGATCTATACTATCTATAACGTGCAATTGCAATGCTTCTGGCTGGATTCTTCATTATTGTTGCTGTTCTGAGGACGTACTGTATTTTCATCACCCCCACCCTCCAGGTCACAGAGGATTTTACTCCGCCCCGTTTAGCCATTTAAAAAAAAAATTTAATAAAAATTGTATTACAGCAGGGCCGTGATTATCTAGCAGTGCAGAAACTGCGTACATGTATAAAAAAAATTTGAATAACCAAACATTTGGACTTTTCCACTTGGAGCTTCAGCATCCTTGAGCTTAGATTACAAAAGAACTGAGAGAAAAAGAATGTCAGCTTTACAAAATTAGGAAGCCAGATGTCAACAATATTTTTTAGCAGTTCTACAGAAACACATTGACATTTTTGTTCTAAAAACACAATAGGTAATAGAGAAAACTGAACAGATTAAATCTTGAGACAAACGGAATAAAAAAAGATATCCATGGAGCACTGGGAGAGACTACAAACAGTTTCTGCACTCCTAGAAAAACGTGCAAACAAAACAAAATGTATTTAATGGCTAAAACTGGATCTTGGTTGATATTTCCCCTTAAAACTGAAAATGATTTGTCATGTTACCTCAACAAGTGGTTGTTGACTCCACTTCTCCCTCCATGAAGTAAAATCAGCTGTAAGCTGCCACAACTCTTTACGAGTTATGACCTTCTGGACATCTGCTTCCTGAGTAGTTATGTCCAGCTGCTGATCTAAGGGGATGCAATATCAGAGATTTGTTTTTTTTTTACATAGATATCAACATGCCAGCCTCTTTTCATTTCCTGTCACATGTCAATCAAAACATTACTGATATTAACTAACCTTGCATGCGTTGACTGCTGCCATTAACTTCCTCCAGCTCTGCGCTAAGTGACTGAACATGGTCACACATGCACTTTAATTTAGAAACCATCTCATTGGCATTCTGGCTTGGGTCAACAAAAGGCCCGGAAGAGGCTTTAGAGACTATATTTTGAAGTTCAGTGACCAAACATGAAAACATTGTTTCCAATGCATTACACATTGAAGGAAGCCTCTGGGACACGAGAGTATCTGCCTGCTTTAGCAGGTGGTTAAAATTGTCCCACAATCCCAGCATCTAAACATAGAGCACAAACAGATACACATAAAGAGGCTATTATATTGAGATCTGGTCAAAAAGTTGCAAATTTTCAAGTTTATGCACATAACTAGAGAATATATCTATAATGTAGCTCATATGTAGCATAATTTTCCCATCTTTGCCAGTGTACCTTCTCTTCCAAAGTCAGCTCCGGCTCACTTATCTTCCTATAGCACATGCAAATTGCATTACGGAGCGAGAGAATGTATTCCAAACGGCTCTGCATGTCGGCCAACATTTTCATAAACTCCCTGACCTGCACGGTGAAAAAAAAAATCACTGTGGTTATTGGACAGCTTTGACAGTTTATCACAACTTAATTGTGATTTAAAGCAATCAGGAAAAAATTTATTTTAAACTATTTCAGAGCTGTCCGTGCTGATGTCATAGATGATAAAATATAATGTAGGACATTTATGTGCTGCAAAAACAATAATGCAATAAGACAGACAACACTGATAGGAAATTGCTCAGTGCTTAAATGTTGCACAAGTATCCAAATCTTTTAAAAGAATAGAACAATGCTAACACTGCATACTAGCTTGTTTTTAAAATGTTTTAACGTTTAATGGATAAAACATTGCTTTAGGCTAAAAATATTTTATCGTAAATTAAGTATTGTTACTAAAATGACAATTTCCATAAATTGTTCTTTTACTGTGAAACAAACAAAAATGTATTTCAGATGCAGGCATCTTCATTAGCAAAGACCCAACCTCAATTTTTTAAACATTTAATAACAAACAAGAAATTACTTTTTTTTTAGCATTCCAATTGTTAGGAGTCCCAAAACTCTATTTTATATAAATAATTTATAACTTTGTGTTAAAATATATTAAATAGTAGCCATTTTTCTCCTAAGAAGAACAGGAGTATGTATTTACTATATCTGTCATAAATTCTGACTGTACATCTAGTTTTTAGGGCTGGTAGGCTGTTTGCCTTTCCTGCTTTGTTCCGCTCTGCTAATTAGAGTAAGCAGATGCACCTTGCCACTCGCCCAATCACCTTCATTCCTCCCAGGTGTTACTCAGACTATTTATACCTGTGTCCCAGTAATGGGCTCTATGCACAGCTCCACTACTTCCTGAATTTAAGGCAGCTCCTTTGTTTCCTGTCTTTCATTACTGGACGAACTGATTAATCCAGGTGTGTCTGGCCAGTTACTTAGGTCATACACACCTGGATTAATCAGTGCATCTATTCATGAAAGACAGGAAACAAAGGAGCTGCATTAAATTCAGGAAGTAGTGGAGCTGTGCATAGAGCCTATTCTCTGACAATATATATCACTTTATCCTTGGCAATATAAAGATAATTTGGGGATTCAGTGGGTCCAGAGAGACATTATCTTTCCACAGTACATATAAATGTTGGGGGGAAGAAGCTAAAACTATTGCAGAGATATTTATCTCAATGGCTAACCACAGGTTGCATGCATAAACTTTATATATGAACAAAACACTTTGAAGCACAACTCATGATGTGCAAAAATAAACTTTAAGGGGACAGTAGGCAAGAAAACCTTTTTAATCATAGTATTAAATGTTTTAGAACTCACTAAAATGCATTGATACATGACTGGTGTTATTTAACTCAAGGAGAATCAAGCCCCGTTTTTTCTGTTTTGTTTTTTACTTTTAGCTTTTATTGTTTAACCCAGTTGACTAAACTATAATATGTTTAGCCTCATACAATAACATAACACACACACAAAAAAAAAAAACAATGAACACAACCTCAAGCAGATGTAATTTACAAGTATTCCTCTTTTTTTCACATCTAGATTTAAATGCATTTTGGTTTGTTGGTTAAGGAGCATAAAATGCATATGAATTATTTAAGGAAACCCAATGTGTAGCACTTTTCCACCAAAAATGATGTCGCCACAGTCTGACCATTAGACCATTTTGTCACTGAAAATTAGACATTGTAGCTTTAAGATACATTCAGACAGAAGGCAAAACCTTCTGAAACAAATCTGTCAGCATTCCTGGGTTCTCCAGATTCCCAAGATTAAGGGTAACCAATAAAAAATCAGCGCGGTCCGAATAAGAAAATCATCAACCAGTAAAGGTCTGGAGACATTTTTAATTATAATCTGTTACCATAAACAGAATTTAACACTGAAATGAAATTTGTTTTTTATGCATTCATGTTATACTTTTAATTATTAAATAAAAAAATTTAAAAAATGTAACATTTTTCCATTTTAAAATCTAAAGTGTTTTTTGAAGTAGAGAACAACAACCGTTAAGTTTGCTATATAGACAATTTCCTAATTCACATATTTTATAAAACACCTGAACTGACTCTTTAGTTTTTTTCTTTTTTCTGGCTTAATGAGAGCAGTGAGCTTTAGGTTGTCCTGCAAGGCTTTAAACCTGGGTTTGAATGGAGACAAAGCCATTATAAAGCACATATCAAGGTGCTCATTTAGACCCTGGATCCATGTTTATTTTTGATTGTGTTCATAGTGGAGAATCCTGCTTTGCAGCAGCAGGTTGAGCCAAACATACTCAAAATGTGCAGCGAGGTGATCCGGTTTGTCAAATTAAAAATATAGTAACGACAGATCGGTAAGTACAATTTAGAGCATAATTCTTATATAATTTTTAAAAACTAACACTGTTTATTTAAAAGATTGGATGTAGACTATTGGTACTTCAAGGTACCAGGAAGCAGATTTCTTATCTCCATCAGAAACCGCACATATGCTGGATGCTCATGGGGATTTTTTTTAACATGTCATATGAAATAAAGCGTTCATTTCTCCAACGAGTTTAATGATAATATCGCACATGCTCTCCTCGAGCTCCATGGATAAGTCGGAGCGGAATAGCGGAGGCTCTAGGCTTTGCTTTGCAGGAGGTCTGGAGCGCTTTGCTTTGGGGTAGAAAGAAAAAAGGTTAAAAATTTCCAATACAGAGAGATTATTTAGATCTGGTTGCTATGTTTGAATAAGCAGCATATGGCTTTTGTAAATAAGGGAATGGCTTCAAAGAAAAAAAGGAGACTTGTTCTGCCAAAGTTGTCTGGCCTTCAGTGTGAGAACACTGGCAGGAGAGCTCAAGGAGCAGGAAGAAGCTGCCAGCCGTGAACCCCTCTGGAACTAAGGAACCACAACAGGAGATTGGAAGAGTCCACCGGGGGAACAGCGCCATTAGGGAGAGGCTACGACTGGCAGGGGCTAGCTATAGAGGCTAACTGTGGAGGATCAGAGGAGCACAGCGGTGGATCAGATAAGTCAGCCCGCAAGACAGAACACTGACGGTAGGACAGAGGCTACGGCTACCCGGGAGTAAACATTCAGACTAATCAGTTTTGTATCTCTTAACTTACCAGGATTCCAGAAAACATTATGTGCATCTATATATTGTCCTTTTTTAGAACTGTATTGTCATTTGCTGTTACCACCTTTAAACTTTACTACTCTCATATTTTCTCTTTTTTGTGTTTATGCATGATATTTTAAAGGGTTTCCATACCATCAGTGCATATTTTGAAAAGTCATGCACATCTTCTGGTTCTGTTTTAAGTTCGGCAGTCATCCTCTCCATGAGAGATATAAGGCTCTCTGACTCCTTCTTCATCTGGTCAACAAGTTGCTCTTGAAGTTGCTCCTTGATGAGGCTAAGCTGCTGCACTGCTTAAAACAACAGGAAAATGAAGAGTGTTTATCATGAAGCACAAAGCACATCTCTTTAACCATTCTGGCAGTAAGCGACTGCTCATCAGGCTTCAAGTGCATCTTAGTGGGGTAACGCACAAATTGAAAAAAATCTAATACATTAGCTAAACTGTTGATTTGTAAATGTGTCTAATTCCGCAATGTTCTGTTGCTGAGATTGTAGAATGCACAAAAGGGGTTCTTGAAAAGGAAGCTTTTGGTTTACGCTGTATCCACGTACATAGATTTTCCTTTAAATGGGTAGAATCGATGACAATCAGATTACTGGATATACAAGTTGATGGGCACACTGTATGGATCCTTTGAGCCCAGTGGTGCAACTTTTTAATGTGCTCTTCATACACAGATGCAGGCTGCCCCTTCAGGGATTCCAATGAAGCCGGACTCCATTGACTGGCAAACAGATGGCTGTCCTTTAACCATGTATAACTCTTGCACACCTGCTCTATTTCTAACTCTGTAACCTGTCCAAAAGGAACATGACAGAAATATGAGTGATACACATATTTCTAACTCTGGTTTGTGATTCTTTTTATGAATTAATTAAAGATAAGCTCCTTCTGGACATAAAAATAAGCACTTACCTGTATGATTTTGGCTTGCTCAGTCTGAACTTGTTTTGTCACATCAATAGTGTTGATATACCACTCTAACTTTGTTTTGGAAAGAGGATAGTAGCAGCCTTTAATCCTTTCACTTTGCACCATCAAAAAAGGTGGTTCAGAATGCAGCAGCTGGTTCCCAATCAGTATTTTGTTCATTTGAACCGTGTTTGCTCCTGTAGAACAATACACAACTTTTCCTTCTTGCAATAGTAAAAATACAGTAAAAGAATCCAAATTAATTTAGTTGGTCCCAATAATCCAAGTCTACACTGTTCCATGCATGTCAAACCAATTGATATTACTACAGCACAATGGTAATATCAGCAAAAACAGAATATCATACCTGTCACTGTAGACCATTTAATACAACTGAGTTCTGAGGTTAGGTCTGGATCCGAGTTAATAACTTCTTTTCTGATGTCCAGGAAGAATCCTAAACGTTCACACATCTGCAATGGATGAAAATAGTTTGTTACCAAACAATAGTCTGGTCTGCCACTCTGGGTCCCTGAGCAAAGACCCTTAACCCCACACTGCTTCTCAGGCGCCACACAATGGCAGCCAACTGCTCCCCAAGGGGATGGGTTAAATGCAGAGAATTAATTTCGTTAGTCTGTAAAAAGCTGGGGGGGGGGGAAACATTGCATTGAGGGCAGTTTAAAAATAGTCAATTTTATACTAATAATAACTGATTAATTACTCTTAAGTTGCTATGTAAAAGAAATACCTGAACAACATTGTTGCCAGCCCCAAGAAAGAATTCTGTCAGTGTTTTTTGGAATTCACAGATTGGTGGATCAATACTGAGCTGACCATCAGCAGTGAAACACAGTTTAGTGTAGAAGAAACTGCACTGCTGAGATGAAACTCTCTGAAAAAAACAATAATACATTAAACAGCATATTAACTCTACACAAATGAACTTTATTAGACATAGGCAACTTTTATTGATATTTTGTTTTGTACAGCTTTCAGAACATTTCCATTCCTTGAAGTGCAGAAGTGGTCAAATATAAACAGACATGGTGCAAAAAACGCATTTATATGGAGTTTCAGAGTATTAAATATATATAGTGCAAATATGCAGTATATTTGGTTTGGTGTTATCAGTTTGATGCAGAGTCTGTGACATGTTTTAGAGTTTTCTCAACAGTTCAGCAGTCTAACGGCAGTGGGGAAGAAACTGTTGCAGAATTTGCTGGACCTGCATCGAATGCTGCAAAGCCTCTGCCAAGAGGGCAGCATGGAGAACATTTCATGTTGGGCTCTCGACAATTCCACAAATATGTCGCCTATTATAGTTCTGAGTTTCCTTGAAAGAGGAAACTCAGAACAGAAGAAATCAAGAACTGAAACAAACTGACTGTATTTGTGAAATTATCCTGGAACATAACCATGGTTTAAATTTACAAAAATGGTAAAAGATAAGTATTTGAGACATTTTCCAGATTAAAAATATTTCCTATTAGTGCCGGAGAAAAGCATGTCTATAACAGCAGGATGTTGCCCCCACCACGTATCATTGTGGGGAGGAATGGTGGTCCATTCAGAAGAATGTTAGTTTAATCCATAGAAGCAGTTTGCACTTTGGTATTTCTATTTGGGTCTCAGGAAACCAAAACAACGTATTTCTCCCATGCTTGCAGTGCCCAATACATGGTAGAAAACTTTAAACATGTCTTATGGATTGCTTCTTTTCCCTCTGCCATAAATACCAGATTTCTGTAGGGAATTACTACTAATTTATCCGTTTACAGCTTTTCCCACATGAACTGCAAATCTCTGCTACTACCACAACGAGCCTGGCTGCATTTCTAATTAATGCTCATTAACTTTATGGCATTAGTGCGTTTGCAGTTGTGCTATATTTTTTGTTTTCAGATAACAGATCAAACAGTGTTGTGCAGGTTGTTTAAAACCTAAACTATTTGTTTTTTGTATTGACCCTGCCTTTAACTACTCTACAACTAAAATTTAATCAGGGACCTGTCAGTTGTATTCCCTGACATCATAATCAGGTTGTTTCTTCAGTATTGGAAAAAATTATGAACATTATGTATCATCTGCCTTCCACTTTGTAGTTATTAATTATTTTCTTTTGTCTATTACATGTTACCCTTTTAATTTCAGTTAATATGAATGATATCTAACAATCTGCAGGGATTTATTTTCTCTTCATACCTTGAAGCAGTCGAGGAAAGACCTAGCATCTTGATGGACGACGGTAACAAGACTCTGTAAAATCATCTGATGGGTGAGTGCTGCAAAGTTTCCCAGTTTCTTCAAGATGCCTTCAGACTGGGTCAGTTGTTTCTTCAGGTTGCGCTGGCGGTCCAAGAGCAGGTGAATCGGTTCAGAAGATCTATTCAACTTTTTTGCAAGTTCTAGTTGCATAAGAAGCTCCCTGTGATATGTATAGCTGCCGTCTTTCACCTAAAGTGAAGAGATAAGCCTGCTTTTAATTGAAAAGATAAATACCATACTCATTCTGCGTCCAAGATGGCATCTATGTTTGAATGACTGGGATGAGGGATTTATCATACCACATTCAGAAGTCCCACATGGTATTTAGATAACTTCTGTAGAGACAGGAAAAGCTCTTTCCTTTTTGTTTCCAGTATTTCATTGAATTCTTGCAATGAAATGTTTTTAAAATCATCCAAATTCATCCTGCTTATTCCTTGTAGCTCCTCAAGTACTCTGTAGGAATAGAAATATAAAAGTGAAGCCTAAAAGTCCCACTTTTTTTATTTCCTCTTAAGGCTTAAGATTCAAAGCCAGATTTAGTTTTATCACAATTCAAAACTAAATAGGGACAGGACTATCACTAACTTACCCAAATAACAGATGAACAGCAGTTCTGAACTGAGGCACAGCTAAAAGAAGTTGATCCTGGAGATGGTTACACTTTTGCTGAAAACTGATTATGCGTACCATCTTATGCCAGCTGCCGTTCAAATCCACAACAAAGATTAAAAGAAATGCATATGAATATAAAATTGTCTATATTATCCTGAAATTGTTACAAAGACAACTTTACATTTGAAGTACTTTACCTGGAAAAAGCTTTTTGCACTCTGAAGTGTCTGAAAAAATGTATGTCCTGCAAAGCTGTCCACAGAACGTACTCTCTGTGCCACTCTGCAAGAGTGACGGTTCCACCAAAGCCTGTTCTTGTCACGTGGAGTACAAAATCAGAAGAGAAGATGTAATGCTCAGGACCAGCATCTTCAGCAGGGACCACTTGCAGATCATAAGGCCTGTGAACCAAAACCACTTTTTAATCTACATTCATATTTTAATTTCACCTTTAAAACACAAAGGAATGAAGAAAATCCCATTTTGCCAAATTCTCAGTTTTACCTGAAGGCATTCTCATCCACTTCTTTCAGGAAAAATAATTCCTTTATTTTTTCATACTCGGCAAACATCTGAACAACTTCTGTGCCAGTGAGAGCATATTTTAGTTTGGTAGCTTTTTTATATTTCATTTTCCTTTTGCCCTTCTTGCATGCTGTCATATCTACTTCATGACTGAAAAAACAAAGCTTATCAGCATGAGAAACTCCCTTAGGTCTAAAAAAAAACATTGAAAGGTAAAGCTTGACCATGAGATTGTTTTTTTTTGTATTAATGTACATTTTTCACCAACAAACAATATTACCTCTCTGCTTTCAGCTGACGTGCTTTAATGGGGATGTCAGCTTCTAAGAAAGAAGCCATTAGTCGAGGTCCATCGGTCCATTTTGCCTCAGCTATGGCTTTCTTTGAGCCAAATTGACCGATTATATGGGGTAGTTCCAGCAAAGACACGGGTTTATCAGATGGGATGTTTTTGAGAAGAGATGTAGGGCTAAAAAGGTCCTTTGAGTCAAAACATGCTGAGAGACTTGTCTCGGCAAATGGTGGTGGTAAAGCATCCCTTTTCTTGACTTTGGATCTAGACTGTGATCCATCTCTATGAGACATATGAGGAGATCCGCCATGGGATACTTTCTTTGAGGTTCCAGCGAACATGCTCTTGATTTTTTTGTGTACACCATTAGCTGGTTTGAGAGTAAGACAACATACAATGCAATACCACAGTCTCTGACATTTCTGTATGGAATGAAAGATATATAAAGAAATGTTATTGCCATCCTGTAACATGTAGCAGCAAAAATACACAGCATTACAGGAGCAATCCATTACATTAAAACAACTATTGACGAGGTGACCTCTTAAAGTTTATTGGTATAGTACAATTCAGTAAAAAGACAATTCAAAGTGATTTAGGTGAATAAATATTAAAATAAAAGGTATATAAACGCAGAATCAATCAAGTAAAGATAAAAACATGAGCAGGCAGGAAAACAAATAAAACAGTTGGACCACAATGGTGGTCTGGGAGGATGATACACTTACAACAAATCTGTTATGTATTGAGGTGCTGATTCATTCAGTCATTTATAGACTAAATAAAGTATTTTAAAGTCTATTCTCTGAGCTACAGGGAGCCAGTGTAAGGACTTTAAAAACAGGCTGATACTTTCTTAGTTCTAGTGAGAACACGGGTCAGTTACAGCTGACACTGTTACAGTGATCAATTCTACTGAAGTTAAAGGGACACTATGCAACATTTTTCAGTTAATTAATGTGTTCCATAACGTTATGGATGACTAAATGAGTCATTTCAGGTTGAACAAAGGTATTCTCGGCCGCCCTGGTGGTCTGTGGGGGAAATACTGCACTTGCAACTGCAGGAGCACCGACCCGCACCCACAGGCTCAGAAGTCTCGTGAGAGTCAGTCTTGCTTTACGGCGAGAACTGCTACACCCCCCAGTTAAAAGCATGCTCGTTGCTAGCACAGTGGCAATCTTTGTGCAGTTATGCTACGTTCACGCAGCAAAAGCAGCAAAATCGCATCTGCTGCTTCATTTTTGCTGCTTGTACCAGTTAGTTCTGATGCGCGGCTGAAGCAGCTTTGCTGCTCTGGCTGCAAAAGTGTGTCTGAGGCGCGTTGGGCGGAGCTTCACTATCCTTTCTCTGCCTTGTAGCTATATTTGCTGTGATCAGTGGGAATAAAGTAGTTTTAATATGTTTTTAAGTGAGAAAATACACCTGAAAACGTAATCAGTGCAGTCAGTTCATTCAGATTATTATCCTGCCTTCAATATTTTTTCTGTCGGAGCCGCTCAGACCCCCACATACCAGGGATGCGCCGACAGTATGGATCCCTTCATCAGCAGCGGTTCACCGCGGCAGCTGGTAGGTGTTTTTCATCTAAATAATCCAAACTGCATATTCTGCCGGCAGATTTCTGCATTTTAAGTTAATTTAGGCGTCAATAAACTGTTTAAGAGCAGTGATCATCAGCGCTGTGTCTCTCTCCCTGCGTTAAACGCACCCGACGCGCTGCTGCAGCCGCTCAGACGTGCTGCGCCTGCAGCTCAAAACGCGCCGCGGGACCTTTGCATGTAAACTCGCTGCTTCTGTCGCGCCAGCTACATCCAGTGTGAACGCAGCGTTAGTCATTCACTGCTAAGCTCAAAACAACCGCGCCTGGCTTGACGGAGAAACCAGGAGAACAGCTGAGCATATTTACGACAGTGCACTTTTACTTTCGCCCTCTGGAGGGAGCCTCACTGGAAAATCAACACCGGTTGCATAGTGTACCTTTAAATGCATGAATGATTTTTTTCTTGATCCTGCCTGGATATTATTCCTTCAATCCTGGAAATGTACATCACTTGACAGGATGTGAAAATGCCACTGAAGCTTTCAAGTGTTTTTTTTTTTTATTATATATATATAATTTAAGTAAGATATCAATAATCTAAGTTTTTATATATATATATATATATATGTCCAAAGCTCCTTTGTGTGATATCTAATTTTTTTCATCCTGTTAAGTGCTTAAAATGCGTACTTCTAAAATGTACTATACAAATACACTTGCCTTATTATTTCTACATGGAAGACCTTGAGTTAATAATTAAGAACTTATGCTGAACAATACACTCAGCTTATTCAGGCAGGTCATGTTTTTGTCTGAAACGGATAGCGTTAGATATGTCAATACTTGTTTTGGTAAAAAAATAATAAATAAATAAATAAAATACTGGTGACTCCGTCATTTCTCTTTTGGTTTTCAAACACTGACTTACAACAAGTAACAAATAAGTTCCGTCCAATAAAGAAATCTTTGTCAGTCACTTACCATACTTACCTTACCCTGCTTACTGGGTAAAAAAAAAAACACCATAATATGAACAAGCACTCATCCTACGACGGAGTATTAGGGCCAGGCTAGAGATTTTATTTTTTTATTTTGAGAATAAAGTCATAACATTGTGAGAATAAAGTTGTTATATTACGAGAATAAAGTGATAACATTACAAGAATAAAGTTTATATACACACTACTGAAAAGCTTTCATATACTAAAAAGCTTTCATACATACTACTGAAAAGCTTTCATATACACTACTAGAAAGCTTTGATATACCCCTCATAACTCTGGCAAATAAGGAGCAAACGCAACCTAAATCACAGGATTTTCAGGTAAATGAATTTGTTCCCATGTTATGGAGAGGGAACTGATTATTTCAGGCAGCTAAAATATATGGTTCCCTTCCTTTAATTTAGGCAAATAATGATCAAATACCACCAAATCCAGAGGGTTTGTTGTTGATGAGGAGAGGAAAAAGCACAGTTAAAGACTTGCAGCTAAATTAATTTCTTCCCATGTTATGGAGGGGGAACAGAATATTTCAGGCAGCTAAAATATCCATTCTCTCCTCTCCAGAAGACCTGGTTCTTTTTTATTTTATTGAAATGATCAGAAGCGCCTGGAGAATGATCAGGTGCGCATCTTGTGGCTGCAATACGCGCTCCCGACACAGGGGGGGACAGATTTTCAAAGGGGAACAGAATTTCGCACAACACTGTATATGAAAGGTTTTTACCGTAGAAGTGTATATGAAAGGTAAAGCTTTTCACCAGTTTATATGAACAGTTCTCACTTCTTTGTATGATAGTTTTTGAGTAGGTTATATAAGAGGTAAATGTTTTCACTTGTTTATGTGAGACCTTTTCACTAGTGTTTAAGCACGTTTTTCAGTATATTATATAGAAGAGTTGAATTTAATATGTGTATATGGAAGTTAATTCTTATTTAGGTCCCTAGGGCACCTCATAATACTCCTTCGTACTCATCCGACTCGGTCGGTAAACAACATTCCACCCTTGTTGAATATATAATCCTTGTGCTAATGAAGGTTCCCAGTCATCCAGGTCATAGTCAAAAAATATAATCCTTGCTTACAAACAAAACTATCAGAAAACCATTAAATACACATTTTTAATCTTTAATACGCGCTGGAACAGTAACTTACTGGCTAAAAGCGCCAATAAAATAAACACTTAAGAAACTTTCTTACCTGCTCCGGAGAAGTTTTGAGGGAATGCGCTGCACAGCTCGTTGCCACGGTAACGCGCAGGGAAACCCGTTGTCAAGGTTTAACAGCACAAGGGGTCACAATCATCACAATAAGCGACATTAAAATCTTAAACGTGACGCAGTACATCGCGCTCTTTTGGTGATTTTCCTGAACTTGAAATAAGTTATTCATTATCTTAAGTAGTATTCTTACATTTTTTGTAAGTAAGGGTTTAAAGAACTCTTCCAGTGTTGTGTAGTAACTTATGAGTTAGATAATAATTAACCAAACCATCCTTTATTTGTATTCTAAAGCTTTAAGAATAAGTGTTATACATTTATAGATCATAAAATGTTTTTTTTATGTTTTTCCTAATAAATTATTTGGAAATGCACAAAGGAAATGTTTCTTTTTATAGATGCAATGTTCTTTAAAAAAAAAAAAAATTATATATATATATATATATATATATATATATACACACACTTTTTATTAAAAAATATATAAGGAAAGCCCTGATTTTTCTGTTATTATAGACATTATTACTTACTGATGATATTTTGGTTTAAAAAAAAACATATAATGAGGAACAATTAAGACTATAGAGAAAATGAGGTCATCATTTTTCACAAAAACCATGTCTTTGTTTTCTGGATTTGTAGACCTGAATCTATGATGAAATGCTGCTAAATGCTTAAGCTATGTAGATTTATCCTCAGTAGAAGTCTGCTGGAGGTTTTTCACACCCACCACATGCTTGCTCAGCAAGTGGGGTTGTTGCAGAGTCAAAGACATGATGACAGCAGCACGGCATATAACATTTGTCAATTGAAATTATAAAGTCAATCTGACTTAATTTGCTGTATTATTAACAGGATCAATTTGGAAAGCCTGCTGTTAAGATTGTAATATGTTGGATTAATTTTAACTGTTAAGTAAAGTAACATGTCTTCAGTGGGATAGAAGAAACATACTCATCAAGAAATCCAGTATAACCAAGTCTATGAAGTCCACCAGTCTGGTGCCTTTGTCATATGGAGGAGTCTTCTTCACAGTTGCACAGTAATCAGGATCCGTCTCCCATCTGAAACAAAGTTTCATAAATATTCACTTTCTGACTTCAATCCCAATAGCTATGGCTACAGTTAGATTTTTATCGAAATTCTTATCTTTAAAAAGATTGTGGATTATCTTAATGTAGCACACTAAATTACAAATAATCTCTTAGATGGACTTCTTTGTGTCTAGTTACCGTGCCAGCTTGCTGCGGCTGTATGACCGTCTCCATGGGGACCTCCAGCTTCTGCGTTTGGCTAGGGAGAGATCTGGAAGCATCACAGCCATCGAGGCCTCCAGGTACTGGGGGTTTCCACACACAGCATGCTCTGTGGAGCAGTAGTAGGAACACTGGCCATAGAAGCACACGTTGCCCACTAGGGGGAGAAAGAGGAGCATGACAAGGAGAATACAGGTCAGTAATGAAGAGGAGATAGCAATGTCAAAATAATAATTTTTAAAAAAAGGATTATTCAGAATTTCAAAGGCCTCGCAAGAAAATCCATAGATAATTTAGCAGTATGTACCGGGGGAGTTAAAGAAGGTTTTAGCCAATTTGCGGTCAGTTGTTACATCTTTGATCTCCTTCACCACATCCACCAGCCTCCCGACTGCAAGAGGGATTCTCCTGTAACCTAAGATCCTGCAGGGAGATGAAGGCAGATGAAAAGAAAGACAAGCACAGAAAGAAAAGACATAAAAGGCACAGAAGAAAGGAAAAAAGAAGAAAGATATAAACACACATGTCATCGACTATGATACTTATTATGACAGAAGTGTGGATTTATGGGCTTTGATAAAGTGATAATTTACCTGTCCAGGTGAAAGGCTGCAATTTCTGCATTATGTCTCTCAAAGTCAGAGAAGTAGTACAGATTGTAGTTAGTTTCTTCATCTCTCTCCTGCCTGTTCGGGAAAAGATTAATTATACTTATACTTTTCTTACAGTAAACATACAGATTTCACTCAAACATTCACTTTTTATTTAACACAATGAGAAGAATCTGACTAAAATCAGTTATAACAAGTTTGTAATTTATTGCATTTTCTCCTTCAAAAATACCCCCATACAATGGCGATGTGTTGGACTGGTGTGCAACATAGTTTATATCTTGCATCATAAGATTTTTAGTTGAGTTTGTAACAGTATATATATATATATATATATATATATATATATATATATATATATATATATATATACACAATTCATTTTTAATGAGCACACAAAATATATATTTTTTAATTATGGTCTTATTTCATGGATGAATCCGTCCATTGTCTATACATCCTCATGTATGCAGGGTTGTGGTTGGCATGCTATCTGCTTATATCCTGCAGTAATTGGTTAAAATGCAAGAGTTAGTCCATCACAGGGCTACACAGAGAACCATGGAGCAAACAACCATGCATATCCATACATAGGGTAGCTGTGAGACCAATTAACTCAAACGTCTATATGAAATGTGGGAGGAAGCTAGAACATCTTTAGTAAACCTACGCATGTACAGGGAGAACATGCTAAGTGCAGAAAGATCCCAGCATGGGCATTTTAATCCACCTTCATTCTGCAACCCCATTAATGAAGAATGCTTGTTTTGCATCTTCTGTCCCACATCAAATCCACCTGGAGCATTTGTTGCAAGAAAGTTCAGTATTTGTCTCATCTGTCCAAAGCAGCGTGTTCCAGTTAGAGCCCAGGTAAAGCTTAACCAAACTCCAAACAATAGTTTTCAAAACAACCCTTTTGTCTGACACTCCATTCAAAGGAAAGATCAGCTGGTGTACAAGATTTGATGGTTTTGATGAAAACCTTCTGACCTCAGGATGACACACTTTACTGCAAATCTGTGTAAGTTAGGTTTTAAGATCTTTACCTTCAGTAATATAATGCTTGTTTGGGGGCAAAATCAGTTTTATTATAAAGGTTAAGGAACTATTATTTTAAGGATGTAACATTAAATGTTAAATTTAGCCTTGTTTGTCATTATCAGGTCATGCTACTGCAATAGATGATTTTTGTTTTTCAATTTAAGCCTTTTTATCATTTCTTTCCAGGGTGCCATTTAAAGGTACAGTGGAGGATGTTTTCTTTCCGAGTGGATCATCAAAATAAGTGGTGCTCCCAATTTTCAGTCATTCTGGTGAGATGTTGCTTGTCCCCATTTTACTGTACTTACCGGTGGAAACAGAAACTTTTAAGCAGAGTGTGCATGAGTAGAAATGGGGTTGTGCGTGCTCTCGGGAGCGGGTACTGGGTTGTGATTATGTTTTGTTTTTTTTTCTAAGAGGAGAGGGCGGGTGTTTTCAGAAATCCTCTACTATACTTTAAATATAAATGGGGCTGTGTCTTTTCCTGTTTTACAGTGAAACTTCTTCTAAATTAGTTTTCCACCTGCTGTTATTTCCATTAATTGTTTTTCCTACATTACCTTTAAACTGCTTCCTTGCATACATATAAGTTCCCTACAGGAAATTAATATCAAATTAAATACTTTTTCATTCATTACTACTATGTTCTTCTTCATATTTCATTGTATATTTTTTAGCACTTTGTTTACTGGAATATTTCAATATGATATTTTAGGCACATTTAGTTTAATAGTCTGCTTGTTTATTTTAATTTTCCAGCTTACTTCTTAGGTTTGAACAGAGCTTGTCCGTAGTTAGGAAATGTCATAACCAGCTTCAGTTGTGTCCCACCAGACTTCTGCACTGAAAAAAAGCACAGAGAGCGTTACCATCTCAACACAAACACACACACACTCCCGCTGTGACCCAAACACTGGCTTTTAATGGAGCATCCAGGCAAATACATAAATACAGTGTATCTGAGAGGATATGTGCGTCATAACCAGATAGTGTAGCACATTTTATTCAGCTCATGTATTTAGAACATTTTGTTAATTTCTGAGTTGCTGTGTTATTTTTAGCAGGATTTCATACCTTTTGAACAATCTCCTGTTATTGAGGGACTTCTTTCCCAGGGATTTAAGATGAATATGGTCATTTACATTGAATAATATCAGATTTGTCTCATTCAGGTAAAATATAATGTTTACAGCTTTCGTTGTTGTTCAATATCAATATATCTAATATTAGGGAAAATATCAGTTATTAGAAAAAAAATTTATTCCACTATCTTTTTATCAATCCAATCCTTGAGCCTTGATTTCATATATTAGGGTGTGCAAATTATTGAGAGGCTGGAATTAATCTGAGTATAACAGTCAACATGCTTAACTTCCAAAACCAAAGACAGGATGGAAACCAGCCTTTTTTGTACTTTTAACTTGAATCTTTTTATGACTCTAATTGATTTTACTATAAATTCTTCTGCTTTTAGCTTTTACATATGTGATAAAAATAGTACAAATAACAAAAGTAGAATATCTAAATATAAACATCTACCAATGTGGGCTTTTTTTTTTTAAGTACACATAGTTTTCCTACTGATAAGTGATTTACTGATTAAAACAACTTATGACTGAGCTTCTTAAGTTGATTTAGGCAAAGCCTTTGACCAGGTCGTTTTAAACAGAACAATATGATTCCTGCCACAAAACATTCCCCGATGAATCATCTAAACCCAGTACTGGCGCTGCCAGCATCTGTTATTTAAAACTGTGGAAATGTGTGGAAAATTTTTAGGGGTGGGAAAACATTTGCACTTAGTTGTTGATACAGTCAATCTGCTGTCTTGCATTGCTCCTTACTACTGCCTCCTCATTGTGCCTTGTGCATTAGTGTGATATAAAGTGGAGAATTTTTTCTACCTTTTAAGAAATGTTAAGAACAAGATCTTGTTGCTATTTGTCTCAAAAGGGTTCAGCCAAAAAGGGCCAAGCAGTGAAAAAAGCTCAACAGTGACGAAATGTGTGTATTGGACATGGACATGTTTACTTCAGCAGCTCATGCATTCTTGGCCACCATTTATTAAGCCCACTCCACTTCTGCTGAACCTCAAAGGTCCCTTCAAACTTCAGCGTCTCTCATTTGAGAAGAACTTCAAACTGATCCTCCGCTTGAAAGTCTTGCCCCAAACTTCAGGCATTGCAGGATTACAACAACCCTTTTTTTCATCATGACTTTGAGCTCTGTGTGGCCCTTCTTACCATGACATATTTCGCTTAGAATACCAATGATTTTTATTTCGGGCGATGTCTCTTTAAATCAAAGTGTTTATGGTGCTGTTTCAAAATACCATGCATCTGAAGTAAAATTTTAAAAATAACCTTTTTTTGTCTCGAAAAAACACTCACTGCTTTAATTATATAGAAGGAAAACAAAAAAAAATCCAAATAAATTTTGAAAGACAACATTGCATTTCTTGCCTCTTCTCTAAACAGCTTACTATAGCTGCATGTCATACCTGCACTGACGATACGATGTGTGGCCAGCTGCTGGGTTAAAAGCTCCATGTTGGGGTCACGGTGTGGGTAAAGCTCCCAGCGTGTGATGCCCAGATGGAAGCGTAGCCACGGAGGTTGGCTGCTACTGCTACTATTCCACTGAGCGTCATCATATCCATCCTGGGTGTCGCTTTCCCTGTTAAAACAGACATACACATAGAAATGGTTTTGAAGCTGTCATGCTGTACTGAAATGGGTTCAGTTAAAATAATTTTGCACGATGTTGCTCAAACTCTGGTACCACTATCGCTGATCACACTGGGTTTCCTATATAGGTACTAAAATAAGATTTATTTATCATCTATTACAAGGTAAACATGAAGGGGAGTTAGAAGGAAAATTAGAAATTATAAGCCCCCCATATCAAAAATAATAAAATGAGTATTTTAAATTGAGTGGTAGATATTTTAAGACATCATCAGAGTATGAAATTAAATCACTAACTGGTGGCTGCTAATGCTGTGGGCCATTTATCTTAGAAGCCAGTAGTTGTAGGTTTCATTAAAGTACCAAGAATCCCATGTTCTGCTGCAAGCTGGATTTAGTAAAAGATGGTTCTAATTCACCAGGATGTCATGATGCAAGCTAATATCAGTAGATATGTAGATGTTTCAAAACTGAAGGGAGATGTTCGCAAACAGATGTTTATTGTGTATTTTCTGTAAATGTGGACAAAATTTATTGCGTTACAAAGTGAAGGAGGCGAACCCAAACAAACCCTAAAATGGTGCCCCAACACAAAACGCGTCAGACTATAGTTCACAAGGCCTGTCATAAGGTTAGTAAATTTAAGAAAAAGCACTTATATAGGTAGGATAGTATATAGTGTATACATAAACATACAGTACAGACATGATCTTTTCTGGATGAGCTGTGTGGTACTGACCACATCTGGGTGCTCCTTTGACTCGGCTTGACCTTTGGTTTCACCTTCAGAAGCCAGTCATCCTCGGGAACCACGGGTTTGGGCATGTTGTAAAGTGGATGGTCAAATAGCGCTCTGAGCTTTGACAAGTCGGATGCCCAGCGTTCAGTTCTGTTGGCAGCGCTCTCGGTGTTGTTATTCTGGGGATTTTTTCCTTCTTTCGATCTGAAGCGCTTGTAAGGGAGTCTTTGAACATTTATTTTTGCTTCCCTTCCAACGTCTTGATAGGAAGGATCTCTTTGAAGAGGATCAGGTGGTGGCTCTTCAAGACCTCTGACCCCCACCGAGGTGTTGTTGGTGCGTGCCAAATCCCTTAAGTGTATCTTTGGTTGCAGTGCAGTGTCACAAGGCAGGTGAGGAATGGAGAGTGTGATGAGCGCAAGGAGGAGGTGGAGGAAAATGGTGATGAAGGCCAAGGAGAGACAGATTGTCCCGGAGCGCCGCCGCATACGCCATGTCATCCTCCTGAAAGCAAAGGCAGAAGGTCAGAGGACAATAAATAGCTTGAACACAGAAAAGAGACATGACAAAGAGACAGGATAAAAGAAATACGGTGCTTTGGAAAAGTACGCAGACCCCTTTAAGTCAGAGTTAGTAAGTATGAAACTTAATTCATATCTGTTGAATCTAATATGATATGTTAAAACAGAAACATTAGAGTTCTTTACTCCGATCCCCTAAATACAACCAACTGCAGCCAATTTCCTTGAGAAGTAATCTGTTTAGCATACTGTACAGTTCATTGGTACATGATCTACCCTTTGTGTGAATAAAGTTGTTCTGTAGAGACATCATGGGTCTGTTAAATAATTATAGCAGCCAAGAGGTAACGAATGCAAGGCCATGCAGATGAGACCAAATTTGAAATCCCAGGTCAGTCTAAACTAGGGCTGTGCAACATGGCTGTAAAACGTATCACAATGTAGGCCTTTTATATCTGTTGATATCGATAATTATTGATTAGTGCTTTGTTTACCTGTTTCACATGGTGGCCAGTGGGAAAAAAAAGGTTATATTTGAACTACCTTCAACTTTTAAAAATAGTTCAGCCCTACTTCCAGCTTTGCTTATTTTGGCTGTTAGAGTTTTAGAAGCTTAAACCCTTTCTTCTGCTTACCGGTTTATCTCCCAGAGTAGCATGTGGTTCTGGATCTTAGTTCACATATATTTGTTAATGAAAGCTCTGTGTTTACACTTTGAAAATTCTCCTCCTGGTTCTTTCCTGAGAAGAGATCATTCAGGACAAACTCTTTAAATAACACTAAATGATAACATATTTTGGCATGAAATGAAATCTGACTCAGACTAGAAAAAATTGCTTTAGTATACAGATGCCAGTGCTTACCAACTCGCCCACCACTGATCCCTCTCTTTAACTTTAAAAATTAGGTATTTTTCAGCTGAAAGTTACTGCAAACATTCAACTAGAGCTACGCCAGAATGTTTCTGATCAAAGATTGCATTAGGCCGTTTTTGAAAAATTAAAAAACAATACTTTCATGCGTTACATACTCTGTTGTCAGGCTCAACAGCTCTTGTTGTAAAAGCTAACTGTATTCGGCACAAACCAACACTTATAGACCCTCTTTGCTGCTAAAGGCATTCTATAATGACGTCAAGAGGGCAACGGTCTTAGCTCATTGGATAAGTGATGATCCACATCTCTGATAATGGACCTGGCCGTTTGGCTCACTGCTGTCTTTTTAGAAACTTCAGTTTTTGCTCTCAGACATATACCTACCCAGCATTTTTAACAGTTCTGCTCAGCTTGTTTCTGTCTACAACTGCAAGGTACCCAAATCACACAGTTATGCTAAAAAAAAGGCTGACAAGGGATTATCTGAAGAACCTGTGGGTGCACTCCAAAACCCCTGAGTTTCCTGATCACAAACAGTCTCTGATTGGCTTTCTTACTAATTTCATTCACATTTAAAGAGAAACTGAGCCTTTCATCAATGTGTGTACCTAAGTAACCAAAGCTCATGATCACCTCATCTGCTGGTTAGACATAGACAAGGACTAGACATGTTTAGATCTACTGAAGGTTAGCTCCTTGGCAGTGGTGGGCGGTGCATATGGTAACTAGGCCTTCAGTGGGCACCCCTCAACTTTATCTACTTTTTATCCCTTGATCTCCATATATATATATATATATATATTGCGCAGATGCCTATCTGGGGGTGTGAACAAATCAGTCTTGTGTGCAGGCCTATTGTTAACACTTTGAACGTGACCTGATAACATGGATGCAGCTATAAAGCCGCCATGTTTGCTTAAGGGTACATTTATTCTTAAGGAAGCCATTCAGCGTGGTTGAAGATGATGGGCTCGAGCTCGTTCTCTGGGTGGCCACAGGTGCTCATACATGCCCAGCACGCCGCAGAGAAAGCTGCGAAAGATGAGAAGTTGGTCGAGGCGACGTGTTTAGTACTGACAGTGGACCACTGGATATCTGTCAATAATAACTACCTCGGTGTTACTGCACACCTCATCGATGCAAGCTGGGAACTACACACCTTCTCTTGGCAATGTTATGTCATTTTAAATTTCCTCTTACCACAACACCACGAATGATTACTACAAAGTTATTTTTGCTTCTTGATGATTGCTTTGGCGAATGTGGGTAAAGTGGGACGCTTTATGAAAATGTTGGTTCAGTGGTATTATGTGATGCATTTTGGAAACAGGAAATGAGCCCCTGGTCTAATGCACCATCTGACTAGAGAAACCTGTTCAAAGACTTACTTTCACCTATTATTTAGGTAGCACACACATATCATCCTTATCATATTTTATTCTTACCCTTATCTTATTTTATTCCTATACTTATGTTATTTCCCGCAAGGGATTATTAAAGTAAATAAAGTAATTCTGATTCTG